TATATATATATATATATATATATATATATATATATATATATATATATATATATATATTTACATATATATATTATCGCCCAGTCGGCAATTGTTTTAGCTCAACATGTGCTAGTTATCATTTTGGTGGACAATTGACCACCCCCCCCCCCCTCTCTGAGCTGTACTTAACGAACACACATGCCTAATAATATGTGTGCCTGTTTACATTTTGAGACGGGCCAACACATTACAAGACAAAATAAAAATCTAGTTGAATATAGCGATAGAGGTTGTTTTTATACAGTTATTTGGATAGCATGCATTCTTATATAGATCTAGAAAGAAGATCGTTTTCGTTATTCATTTCAGGGTGTCAATAAAAATGTGTTATTATAAACCTTTTCAGGTAAGTATTTTTGATGCTAAAACCATGTAATGTATGAATGAAAAATAAAAAGCATTTGAAAACTTTTCTTTAAAAAAATAAGACATTAAGATTAATTATATTTTCTAGCAGGCTTGTATAAAGAAACAAAGTACTACTAACATTACCGACAACAATTATATACTCTTCTAGTTAATATTTTTTCTTTTGAAACCGCAATTACCGTTTCAAATAAACTGGTATTTTACTACATCTAGACTAGATCTAATTAGACCTACGGCCTGTTTATTAATTAAGACTTAGTCTAAGACTAATAGTTAATAGTTGATTGTGAATAATTTAATTTAATAACTGGATCAGAATAATTGTAATAGTACTAGAGTCTGACTGAAGTAACTAGAGTCTACTACTACTCATACGATACTCACTTTGAGCCATCCTTGTTGATCAGCTGTACATAAAAATATCTCACTGGTAAAAGAAAATCGGCATTCAAGCCAGGTCCCCATACTCTACTTTTTTTCACACTCACATCAATTGCAAAGCTAACGCTCACAACCAAAAATATAGACGATAGCGTCCGTGGCAACAACATACTCCTGTATCAGGAAACTATCGGCACACACAGCAGGCCCACCCTTACAGTTGTGAATGGTAATCAATGTAAAACCTAGCACTAGGCTAGTCTCGCATCATTCATCTCTCGTGAACCGAAAAGTTTTTTTAATCTCAAGCCCAAGAGAAAGCAACCAATGAAACGACGGGCTAGCGAACTGCTTAATTTGCATGAAGCGCTGTTACATTAATTGTCTTGACACCCTCTCTGAAAAAAAATTGTTTTTATTATTTCTTTACAGCATACTTCTTATGTATAGGAGCTTGAGAAGAACATAATAATTCATTTTATTTCAAGACATAAAAGATGTATATTAATAGTATTATATCGTTTTAGTGTCAAATGCTTTAAAAAAAAACTTGTAAAATGCACTTCTCTTAGATCAGCGCGTCATGCGCAGACATTCTCGCATTTTACCGTTCTGAACGCCATTATCGTCTCCGAGAAAGTTGACGGGATTTTACGGATTTTCAGGTCATCAGATGAAAGTAAGAAACATATCCGATGTCTGGACTATCTTTAGCCCACCGTGAAGCATTCTGCTCATGTGCACGTGTATTTTACGTACTAAACATGGTAATGATTGTATTCTGAAACGTAGCTACCATATCAGCTCAGTTTTCGAGTACTGTCATGGCTGATCTAGATCTAAGTAGATTCTACGACACTGTTGAAAGGACATTCACAACTTGTTGTATAGTTGAGTAACAACGCCCACAAAACGTAAACAAAAACAATCGCGTTACTATAACTATAGTATACACACACTAAACACTTAGACCCTACATATACAGTATTTATCTGAAATCTTGAATGAAATTTTTCATGTAGATGGCTTAGTTGATAGGTAATCTATCGTTTTAGGTGCGTAAAATCGCCCACGACTAGATCTAGTAATGTGAAAAACAGGTGACTCCTTAACCTTAGGCTAAATAAATTTTAATAATTATTTCACATTTTGATGAGGATTTATCAAATTTATGTTTTGAAAAATACAAAAATGGGATGATTATTATAGATACCCTTGTCAGATAATGGAATCTTCTTTTAAAAAGGGGTGTTGGGTTGTTAGTAGTATTGTAATCTCGACTAATTTTATGGTTAGAAATTAGGGTTAGGCGTATGGTGGGGGTTAGGGTTAGGGACATTGAAAATAGCCAGCCATGTGTGTATTTAGTTAGGGGCCTAACTACCAGTAACCTAACATCCCTTTTTTAAAGAAGATTCCATTATCGGACACCGGTGTAAACATTCAGCCCCTGAACCAATATAGTAAGTCGAGACTTTCAGGCTAGCATTGAGCGCTCAACCAAGTTGCTTTGTCTGATCAAATAAAAAGTAGTCTACTGGTAGAATTTTAAACGACTTCTAGGGCCTGACTGTAGTCTAAAGTAAATTTTTGTAAAAAATTATGACTCAGCTCAGTTGGAACACAATACTACTAGATTACAGTTTCTTACAGTGTTCAACCTCTTATTATGATATGACAAGCAGGTAAGCTGGTATAATGATAGATCTTTTAAAAGTAAAAAGTATTACAAATTTGAAAGCAGCTTTTGCCTTATTGTTAAGAATTTAAATTAGGTTGTAGATCCATATCTGTCAGCAGCAAAATAAATCAATTAGACAGTATCATTTATAAGTTAATTTTTTCCTACATAAAATAATAGTACCAAAAAATATTGCGGAAAATATCAACCATAAGAGAACACACACACAAAATTTTTGTAAGCAATTTATCAGCTTAGACTCATGTTTAGGGTCATGTTATTTTCCTGCTAACAAGTATTACCATTTCAATTAGGTAAAGCGCTAAAGAAGTGAAGTTTTATTACATTTGTAACTGAATGATACTATCTATATATATATAATTCTCTTCTGGGAGACGCTAGAAAACAAGCTGTAAGCGCGCTTCCTACCACCCCCACCCCTACATGGTCTGGTGAGCTGTGGTTCACTCTAAATGTTTACAAGCAGAGGCGGGTTTAGTGATGACTATTAAGGGCAGATAATTTAGTTTGAAACGATTTTAAACGTAGGGGGAGGGGGGGGGGGGTAACTAAGTGGAGTTTACTGTAATGGATGGGGGGGGGGGGGGGGTATCGTCCTTAACGAGCTACTTATAGTGTTTTAAAGAAATATTTTCAGTGGCAGCGTTGGTACTGTCGAATTCACAAATTATGAATTACTGAAAAGTAGAAAAAACAACAACTAAATAGCGGCGTATGATATGCATGATAGAGCACTTTATAATAAGCCTTTTAAGTTTGACTTAGGTTAAGGTACATGATTATGTAGTGTTTCATCTTACACACTCTCAATAGTCATACCATTAACCAGTTGGTAAGTGTGCCATGTAAAACATGATTACAATAAGAAGAAACAACATCAAGAACTTAAATAAATATTTTAATTTTTCAAAAACTATACTGCTAGCTGGAGACTATCATTTATTGCACAATTGAAACTATTCAACAAACCTGATTTGAAAACATTTAATTATTTTGTACTGTTATATCCTAGAAAGTGCAACTACTGATTCCCTAAACTCATGCAATAAATGGAAGTGTGGTTTGTAGTGTAAATTCTTTTCTCAACTTCAGGATGTCTGGGCAAGACAGCGAAGCAGTAGACTTTGGTGGGACCACTGTGTCGATAGATGCATCCATGGTTACTGGTCTTGCAAATGTGACAGATGTTCATGTGGATGGGACTTCTGCCATGATTCAAGGTAACAATTTTGTGCTGTTTTTGTTGGGGTTTATAAAGTTATTAAAGAAATATTTCTGTTGTGAAAATAGTTACTATTTTTATAATCTGCCTTTTCACCAATTAAAACATTTACCAGCAAATGTTGGATCTCTCTAATGATATGTATAAATAAACTTCAATTCGAATAATAATTACTCCATTTTGATGATATTTTAAAATGTAGACAGTTTATTATCACCATAACTGATCAGGGAAATATATTAAGTTAGCATTGAATAGCTTTTAAATCGATGTAAATATAAATATGTAACTGCATTGATCTACATGAAATCAAACTTGTTACCTCTCTTTTGTATTTTATTATTTATATCCTACAATGAATATTAAAAGACATCTCCCTCTACTTTGCTTTTAATGGTTTTAGATTATAAAATACCATGGTTAAGTGCTTTTAGCAAAGTGCTTTCATTTTCAATAGAAAACTGTGGGGAGCCTGAGAGAAAAAGGATGAGGCTAGACAGTGATGGTGACATTGATTTCAATCTTGACCATTCCTGCAAGGTATGTGTTTGTTTTTTTTATAATTCATTTAGTTGTAGTTCAAAATCTGTTGTTTTAAAAGTTACTTGAGCAAGTGTTTTTACTACCTGGTTCAATGAGAATTTATACTTTCATAACATGCATATTTTTATTTTTCAGCAAATTCTTTTCAATATCAACAAAGCTATTTGTTTACGATTGGACAACATGGATGCTAAGATAGATCATCTTTCAAACAGGACAAGATCACTGGAGGACAAAATGGACCAAATTATCAGCTGGTCAAGGTCTGTCAATGCCAGCAGTGGACTAGCAACCTCTGCCTCACGGAAAGGGTATTGTTTGTTCACACAAGCAATTAGTCTTGTGAAGTTTGTCAGTCAGAACAGAGTTAACCCTTTATGGACCCATGTACTTGACAGTTGCATGCAACAATTTACTTGTACTGATTGAAATTCTACATTTAGACCCTTCTCATTATTTCTTTAAGTTTAAGGATTAGTTTGCTGTGGAAATTACATTTTAAGTTGAAATATAGTTTAACTACACAATTTTTGGTAATCTTATTTTCATTTATTTGAAAAAGTTTTTTAAAAACTAATTTGAAGCAAATACTAAGAACATTTCCAAATAAATTGGTGTTTTTGATAAATGACAGCTCCTGCATTAAATTATATGTATTTATATCTTTAATAATTTTCTTTTAACTTGTTCTTATTTTGAAGTTATTTTTAAGTGTTTTTTTTAAAGAAAAAGAATAAACTTGTTTAAAAAAGAATTGGCCCCATGTTACAAAAATGGTTGAACTGTAAAGGGTTAACTGAAGTTCATTGGTTTGTTTAAGTTAAAGCTTATGCAAACTGAAGTAGCTGACTGTACAAGGTTTCCAGTATTCAGCTGAGACTAAACTTTCTTGAATCAACCGTTTTTCCTTCTGTTCATTTTGTGAACTTTTTACACCACACAGTTTTTTAACCTTTGTGAAGAATGTGCAGTATTGTTACTGTTTTTAAGTTAAATCTATGTTATATTTGGAGCCTTCTTGCGTTATTGCTATTAAGCTATTATTCTTTTGTGACAATTATTAATTATTTCAAATAATTCTTTTAAATAATAAACAGTTAAATAAGTAGTTCATAAGTAGTGCAAGCAGGAATAGATGTGAAATTTGCTTGTTTTCTTTATGTAGAAGTTAAATTGTATGACATTTAGAATTGAGATGTATTAACATTTCTATTTAATATTAATTATATCATTTGAATACTCCAGTTTTATTAGTAATAGAATAGTTTGTCAAACTATTGTGACTTCAATAAATATTGTAAACTTTTTTTAATGTTGGGTCTTTTTGTCAACAGAGCTGTGATTGTTGGACTGCCACAAACAAAAACAGAACCAGGTATGTATACACTCATTTACCTTTATAGTTGTCATTGATTTGAATTTGTAGTACATTTCTCATTCATTGAGCAATTTTATGTATTTACATTATATCACTCAGTTACTTATGTTACTTACAAAATATTTTATACTTTTGTTAATTTCAGGAGAAATCAATTCCATGGATAATTCTATATCTAATCTTGGTCCAAATGTAACTTTAATTACATTAAATACAGAAGGTAAGTTTCATTTTGCTTGCTTGATACAAATGTATCCAATATGATACTTTAGTAGTAGTTTGCTTTAGCAATTTACACTTACCATCAACATAATATTAGAGTTTTGACTCAGCTGTTAGCACCTCAAAAGAACTGAATAGCTACTGAACTTGTTTTAGCATTGTAACCTAAGATACAGATTAATTGAAATGTCTTTTGTGATTGTACACCTTGCATGTAATTAGTTAACACTTGAATTGACTTTCTTAACCATTGCAGAGGATTTTCCAAATGGCACATGGTTGGGTGATGAGCACAACCCTGAAATGAGAGTTAGAGTGCCCATAACCCCAAGGTATTTTTACTGTTGTCTCATTGAGGCTAGCTATTTGTTTCAACTCATTTCTTAATTAATATTCTGTGGATTAATGAAATAGAGATATTTATTTTATTCATGTTTAAAGTTGAAAATAGCCTTATGTAAACTTTATAAATTATTTAAAATCCTGTTATTTATTAGTATTTTGTCATTCGTTGCTAGTAAATATTGTAACTTTCTGCATTAACCATAATTACTATTTAGTAATTTAAACATGTTATTTCTTTTCAGTGATCTTTTACATGTACACTCTAACTGTCGGACAGCAGAAAAAATGGCTTTAACTCTTCTAGACTACTTATTTGATAGAGATACACAGGCAGCATCAAATCTGTCTGGTCAAGGGAAACATGGCAAAAAACAATTAGATCCTCTAATGATTTATGGCATTAGATGTAAGCATTATGACTAATTCCATTAAAATAAAGTTTAATTTAATTTTGGTAAAATAATTTACTGATCACCACAACAAACTTTTTTTTCAGGTCATCTTATACATAAATTTGGTATAGCAGAAAATGATTGGCACAGAATTAAACAAAATATAGATTCAAAATGCAGAACAGCCTGGCGACGAAGACAGAGGGGTATGCCACTAACTGTAAAAGCTTTTAGAGGAAAAGCCCCACCTTCGTATGTTAATATAGGCAATCATATAGGTGACTTAAGTGGTGGCAGTGATGATGATTCCCTTAGTCAAGAAGATGGAGAGTTACATATTCATCAGGTAATATTATTTTTATTTCATTAAAGTACTTTTTAGCATTAACCTGGCTGTATAACTAGTTATTTTTTTTAACTAACTAGTATTTGAATAAATGCTAGAAAGTATAGAATTATATACATAGACAAACATTGAATGTTGGCTAGCTTTTATAATATATTTATCTACTTAGCAGGCAACAGAAGCTGATATTCAAGCTGCTTTAGCTATGCAAGGAGAAGGTCTTCCAACTGGTGAAATTCAAATACTGCATGCTACTCCAGAACAAATATCACAGCTCCAGCATGCTCAACACATTCAGATATTGTCTGGAGATCAAGTTATAGGGGTAAGCCGTGTTTTGTGACATTCGATTTTCTTTGTTGCCATTTGGAGACAAAATGCAGTTATGTGATAAACATAAAAATCTTAACACACACACCCCAAAAAAAAAATTTCTGTTTAATAAAGAGAGCTATAGGGTTTACTGAGGATACTTTAAGCATGACTAACTATACCCTGTTTAAAAGTATGAAAAGATAAATTAATAAATTACAAAAAAAAAAATTAAATTGCTAATTGTAACATTCTTGTCACTATGCACCTTCGTTCCTCTTACAGCAAATTCAGCATGCAGACATATTAGGCGATGGTATTCAAGTAGCAACAATGACAACAGATGCAGGCGAAGTCTTACACATACAACAAAATGTCTCTGGAGCTGGTGGGGAAACGGATGTGTCCCAATGACAATTAGCCCTGCCTTGAGAGGCAGCTGTTGAAATATTCATGATGTAAATATGGTATTGTTGTATGCTGTTGAGTTGGAAAATGGCTGTTTAAATTACAAGTTAAAAGTTGATGGATGAATGTTGAAGTATTGAAGTTCCTGTAAATGTTAAAAATTCCATTCAAATCCTGCCATTTATCTCATATTGATCAAATCTGAAAATTGTTCAATTCATTTTAACAATTTAAAATGTTAATTTTACCAAATGCAGTGTGCCAATGCTTGGGTGTTTTTTAAACTAGTAACACATACCTAATGTATGTCCATTTCAGATTATTGTTTTTAAATTGTTGATATATATAAATATTATTTATGCTGTGTTAAATACATTTTTGGTATTCACAGTATTACTTTGTTGTTTTTTTATTTTATTTTTTGTGAGTAATGTCTTATAATTAACTTAAAGCAATCAAACACACATTTACATATACCTAAAATTATTTTAATTACATTACTAATAAAGTATACTTAAAATTAATATGTTCACCTCAAATGAACAGCTCAGCATTTCTGGCCAGTACAGAATTATACATCATGTAACTACATACCGGCAACTTCAGTATCATATCAACTTCAGGTCCTCATTCATACTGAAACATTTCTATAATGTTACAATCACTATGTTACTAATGCAAATACTATAAGACAGGCTTTTAATGTCAACCGGCCTTAAATAATGTGAAAGTAAAAAATTTACATGTACTTTTTCTTTTTGTCAGGAAGTGAGATATAAAACTGAAAATTCATGGGTTTTTATCATATCAATTTAAAGATTTTTAAAAAGAATTTAATTAGGAAAAAAAAAGGCAGCACTGTGGCAAATAATGACAACCTTTCAACAAATAAAGATAACTAGCCTAACATCGTAGATTACTTAAAATTGATATCACAGAATATTCCTAGTCAAAGGGAGCTAATAAGGGGAAAATAAATTGCTGTCTTATTTTACAGTAGCTCTCCCTGCGTTTCCTATTTTATCAATGGATATGAACGTCAGTGCGGAAGTGATGTGAAATATTTCTAGTAATCGAGTATAGCAATTACCCCAATAATTGTAAGTTTAATAGCTCTAAACTTTAATACAAATCAAACTAGTAAAATTATGCTTTTAAATCAAATTACATTTTACTTAACATAATTAATTTTTTTGATAAAATGAATACTTTATAAATCGAATTAGTAATCTATACTGGAACGTTAATTTTGAACCAAGTAATCGAACTTGCAAGTACAAATAATTAAAATCTTAAGTATTACTACCGGTGTGTTTATAATCACCGTCAAAATGGCTAACGGAATGCCGCGAGCTGGTGCTTTTGAAGTATTTATTCGCCAGCAATGGTGTCCTGTAAGTGTCACTCTGAATGAAGAATCAATTACACTAACTCTTACTGAAAATCCCGATCAAGCGGCAGCAGCTAATGGTTCCGTTGACGCTGGCCACGGACTAACTAATGGCAATGCTGATTTACCCGAATCCATCACTGGACAAAAACGTTATGTCAAGGTATGGCCAAGTTACATTTACAAGATTCTAAGTACTGATAGATCTAGATCTAGATCTAGATTCTAGTTAAAGATCGATTTTCTAGCTAGATTTAGAATTTGACTATAGCATAAAAAAATAAACCACCCTTGACCTTTTGAGTCTTGAGTCCTTTTGATTTTGGCTTTTTCTTCTTGGTAAAAAAATTATTTTCTTACTAAAATAACTTATCTTAAGTAGATTCTAGACTTCTTAGATCTATTTAGCCTAGTATTTATTATTATAAATAACTACTAGAGTCTAGATCTAGATTCTAGATCTAGTCTTCTAAGTAAAATCTGTTTTTAATTAATTTGTATGAACCATTCTATTGATTCTAATAATTCTTTAAATAATCTTTTGATTCATTCCATTTTGTTTAGATCTAAAAATCTAGATATAGACTTCTAGATCTAGATCTAGAATCTAGTATAGAATGATCAAATGTAAACTTGAGTCTCTATTTTGATTTGTTGGTTACGGTTAGGCCTACTGGAATGAATGGGCCTAATGATTAGCCAGACAACGGGAACATTTTGCAATGTTACAATATTGTTGTTACTAGAGGTCTAGAACTAGATATATTAAAGCATGTTGTAAGGAGGATGATAATATTAATAATTAATATTGATAGAACTATTTTGGATAAATTTGGAAATATAATTCAGTTTTTGTAGGCTAAATAAACTTAAAATATCAATATCTTGATTCTTTTCAGTGGTCAATTGTTTCAACATAAATTGACTTTTGGGAAAGGGTATCAGTGTACATATTTTAAAGATATTTTAAATTCATTTTTAAAATAGCTGTTTACAATTTTTAGGTCATTAAAGAAGAGCAACATGGTCTTGGCATAAGCATCAAAGGTGGAAAAGAAAATCGCATGCCCATTCTTATTTCTAAAATTTTCAAAAACATGGCAGCAGATAAAACAGAAAAGCTATATGTTGGTGATGCCATTTTATCAGTAAACGGTGAAGACTTAAGGGATGCCACCCATGATGATGCTGTCAAAGCTTTAAAGAAGGCTGGAAGAGTGGTAGAAATGGAAGGTGTGTAAAGTTATTATATTCCTTGCCTTTTTTTTTTTCTAATTTTTTATATAATTTTTTTTTCTTAAAACCACATTTCATGATAATGCTGGTTTGTAATTTTTAAAATTTCACTTCACTTTCAAAATATGTATTTGCAGTAAAATACCTCAGAGAAGTGACACCATATTTTCGTAAGTCCTCCCCACTGAATGAATTAGGATGGGGTACTCAGGACTCAGCACAGAAAGAAGTGGCCAAAGCCAGCTGGTCAGAAACAAAAACCCTGCCTTTAAAGATGTGCTATTTGTGTAGAAATCTGACAGTGCCTGATTCAGACAAGAGAACTCTAGAATTGCATTCACCTGATAGCAAGGGTGTCTGTACCCTTCGCTTCCCAGACCCAGCTACAGCTTCTGATTGGTTTAATGCCATCCATTCAAATGTAATGATGCTTACGAAACAGGCTATTGAAGATGCGAATGAGATGTTGAGGTCAGCCCCTAACCAGCATGAGATACGTCACATGGGCTGGTTGTCTGAGCAAGTAAGTTTTTTTTTGTTAACTTGCCTCAAAAACCAGCTGTGGCCAAGCTGTATTTGAGAGATTAAAAAATTAACATTTTATGTTGAATTTCATTTTTTTAAATCTATTTTGCAATTTGTAACCCACTTTTACTGATTCATTATGATTTTCATTTGATTTTTTTTCCTTTAAAAATTAGTATTATTTCTTCAGCTAGCTAGCTTGATTTGTGAAAAACATTATTTTAAAATTGTTTGCATGTTTAAAAGTTAAATGGAAAATAACTGTGACTTTGCTAACTTGCAGCTTACTGGAGAACAGGGGACACCAATATGGAAACCAGTTTTTATGGCCCTAACAGATAAAGATATTTTACTCTATGACACAGCACCGTGGAGTAAAGAAGAATGGGCCACACCATTTCAGTCACACCCCTTGTTGGCTACCAGGTTAGTAAAGTTTATTTCTTCTGTTTGATATTGATAAATAGCATTACAATTTGAAGAGTAAGGCCATTTTTATTTAAAACTAGAATTTATTTAGAAAATAGATCATATACAACGACTGATCGTTTGAAAGAATTCACTGATTCCTGATAATTGGTGTTGATATTATTTAATTTTGAGGTTTAAAAAACTCTTTAATTTTTCTAATAAACTAGATGGTTTTGTTTATCAGGAAGTAGATATGGCTACTCTGTAGCCTACTCCTAATGTAATTCACAATTATGTTTGGTTGACCCATGTTTTCACCCCATTTTCAGGCTAGTTCATTGTGGTAAACAAAGCAGTCAGATGACAGGAGCCGATGTCATGTCTTTTGGCACGCGCTCAGGCTCACGCAATGGGGTTGAAGTTCATATCTTCAGAGTTGAAACACAACGCGATCTAGCCTTCTGGTCCCGTGCCTTGGTGCAAGGTTCACATGGTGCTGCTATTATAACTAAACAAGTCTCTTGTTGTGAGTGTTAAGATTGTTACATATAAGTATTTACGTAGATTTAGAGTAGCGTCCCTTTTGTTTACATGTTTTCATTAACCTTCAATCTATAGTCTATTTTGTAGCATAGGAACGATTGGGAGTGAAGTGACATATAGCATAGAAAACTTAGATGTTAGGTAGGGTATAAAAGGTGGGGTTAGAAAAGTTTGGGGGTCCATTCTCTTATAGCAGCCTCGGTTTAGTTTGATCTCGCAAGCAATAAAAGAAGCTAATTGTATACGGACTTTGTGTTTGATTCTTGTCGACCCTGTCCTCACCTCACAACAGTGAGTAAATAAAGCAATAATTGTAAAAATATGTTTTAACTAATCTCTTTAAAAAAATTTTAACTAAGCAAACATTTTGTATGTAATTAAAATAATAGCAATAGAAAACAAATCAAAAATTGTGTTTTAAGTTTAAAAAATTCAATGGCAATCCTAACTGAACAAATACTTTTAAGTAAACAGCAGATAGGAAGAAAAATATTGTGATTTCAATGTTAAGTTTTCTAATTTTGTTGAAAAATATAAAACTTTTAGCTTAAATAAATACTTAGTAATAAAGACACAAAAAGCTCAGAAATACTATTTTTTTAAATACAGTAGTCAATTATTAAAGGTATTTAAAAAATATATTGAAAATATTTTGCCACTTTTAAACAGCTGTTTGAATATTTCAGCTGTAGTTTGGAAACACAAGAAAGCAAAGTTAACTGTACACTACGAAGATGGTTTCACTCTTAGGGAGGAGGTAGAAGGAGCTGATGGGCCTGGTGAGGTGTTGTGGGCTCATCCATTTGAGAACCTTCGAATGTCCTCAGATGATGGTCATAGACTTTTATGGTTAGATTTTGCTGACATTGGAGAACAGGTATTTTGTTTTGAAGTCCAATTTCCTTATTGATTTTTTAAATTCATTTTTCTTTCCTAAAAAAATCAAGAATGATTAGAACTTTTTTTATCCTGAAAGATCATTTTAATATTATTCATAAATTTCTTACATATATTTTTGAGATAGCTTTGGGTACAGCTTTCTTTACTAAAAATGTAGTATAGTTTCTTAAAAAAAAAGTTATAATATGATAAGCCTGTTTCTCATATTTTAGTTAATTTTTGTTTCTGATTTTTACAAACCAAACATTAATCTTTGCAGTAAATCTCTTTTAGATTTTATTATTTTATTATAAAAAAAATTTACTAAAAAACTTACTCTCAAATGGCATAAATTAAAGAAACTTCTTTTTAAGGATTTTATGTTTTAACAGTAGAAAGCTCAAGGTACTATCATAGTTCTTTTTCAGCATATCTAACTGTTAATGTTAATTAGCTTTGCTGCAAATAAATATCTTTTATATACCACTCAGAAATCTGACAAATTTAACATATACATTGTTTTGTTTAGTTCAGGCCTATACATCATAACTACATAACTTCTGTTTTCAGGAATTGGATCTTAATACTTGCCCAAAACCTATAGTGTTTGTCATTCACACTTTCCTGTCTGCTAAAGTGAGCCGCCTTGGACTTATAGCCTGAAAGCAAATAGACAACATAGGTGTATCTAGACTATTTAATTAACTAGCAATTTATCAGGTGAATTGATATTGAAAAGCCATTGTTATAGCTATTAGTGTGCAATGTTGTCAGGACTATCTTAACCATAAGTGTTCAGTTCACTGGTAAAGGGAAGTTAGGAACTAGCTTTGATATCATTTGCCATTATTTCAATTTAAAAATATATATATTTTTTTTTCTTTCTAAGATTGAATATATTTATTAAATTGTGCTGGTATCTTATTGGTAGAAAAACTGGTTTATGTTAGTCCTATGTTATTAGACCAGATTATCAGAAAATAATGTGACCTTTGTGTTTTGAATTTTCATTGTCAGATTCAGTTTAATTAAGCAATTAGCACCCGTAATCTATTGCTGTTAAAGGAAAACTTATTTCCTTTTTTTAGCTGATATCACTTAGTTTTATTTAGAACATAGTAGACATTGATGCATTTCATTTTTTTTTTCATACCAAACAACTGCTGACCATGTTATAGATATAGAAAAAATCTGTGTAATACATACTGAACAGAAATTTTATTTAGTTATTAAATTTATAGCTTTTTATTTAGTCTGGTTATTTATAATTACCCCCTTGCTGGTCAAGTCAAGCTATTTTTGTTTTTTAAATTACAGTCATTTATTTGATTGTTTTATAATTTCAAATATTGATGTAAACTGTATTAACCCATGGTGTACACTTGTTAGTCTAATTTATACATCTGTTTTAAAGAAACTATAAAGAAAGTGTTTACTTAAAAAACAGGGTTACTTAAGAAGCACATTAAATTTAAAAACAAGCAGAAATGTAACTACCTGTTAACTGTTGGTGTAACAATTTGTAACAGATTTTGTGTCCAATTTAAACACAGGATCAAACTTAAGTCCTTAAAGTTGTCATTTGCCCACACTAGGTGGTGTGATCTGTTAAAAAGTTAAGGTGGGGGGGGGGGGGGGATGGCAGCACATCAGAGCATTGTGTTTACAATTCTTTTGTGTTTACACTCAAAGAAACTCTACTTCATCTGCTCATATAACTCCTCATGGTGACTTATGTTTGAAAGTTAAATTATTGTATAAAATTACACTGTTGAATATTTTTAAAATCCTGCGTTGATCATATAAGCTAGGATTGTCAATTTAAATATGAAAGAATAATCAGTTTAAAAACAACGCAATATTGATATTAAGCTTAATTGTTAACGCTAATTTTTGTATTAATCATCCAGTCAAGATGTATTGTTTCATTTTTTAAAATAATTTATTTATACACTGATTCTTGTCTGTACACAATTTTATACCCCCTGATAGAACTGGTTGTTACTGCTTGCTTTGCGTTCAAAAAAATTTTCTCGCTTTTTGTTGTTGATACTCTTGTGAATATTATATATCCATATTTACCTAAGCTGATGAAAACCTTTTTTGTATATACACTTTATTCCTCTGAGTGTTGTGAGTAGAATTTATGCTTTTTTTAAAAAATGAATTTCAATGTAAATATATTTTCAGTTATTTTGTTTTTAAATATTTTTAACTTTTTTCTTTAAAGTCTTTTTTTGTTCTTTTTTTGTTCTTTGAGATCTTTTTAGAAAGCTGATGTAAATATAGTACAAACTTTGATTCAAATATTTGTCAATAGAATTTTCTATATGAGAGACTTTATTTTATCCTCATAGTTTTACAAAAGTTGTGTAAATAAGTAATGTGTTCCCAAAAACTGTGAATGTGATTCTAGTATTTGATAGCTTCCACACACAGTACCTGGTGATCCATTTGCTTTATGTTGTGAAATAATCGTTTTGCTTAGTACTTTATTTATCCCTTCCATTGATATATTTCTTTATGGTCCTATCTTCACTTCTTATACTTTATACCTTCATAGATTATTTATTTAGTTTTACCTGTTAAAGTCTAGATTACTTAAAAGTCTTTGAGCATTACATAAATTAAAAACTGAATACATTTTTTTTTCTATTATTGATAAATTGTTTTTGAGTAAATACATTTCTTGGATAAATTACTTTAATCACTACTTTGTGACCATAAAAATGTGTGCTTAGATGAGCATATAACAAACTTAAGAATATTTTATTTCTTACAGATAGGTTTTATTTTTACTTGTACTAAAATTATTGAACTTAACTAATGTGTTATGGGACAATGTGATCTAGCAAGTTTTCAACCCAAAAATCTCGTTGGATACACGAGTCCATGCGGAACTGCTCCCATCTAGCTGGCTGGTGTGTTGTGATAAGCCTGGCTAAGGAAATGTTTTGAAGCCAGACCTTAATGAAAACAAATTAGTGTATTGTTTCTAAAAAGCACACACATGTAGATTAGAATTTTTTTTTGTTTCTTATGGGGATGTTTTGTTGACTTAGAGAAATGAAAAATCTGATTATATGTCAGACTGTGTTTACAAGTTTAATGGTTAACATTTGTTCATTTTGAAATCTGCCTGTCTTTGTTTAAATATGATTGATTATTAGAGGTTTGGAATGAGGTGGTCATACATAAATTATTAAAGATAGGGAATGAATTAGTCATGTGACTTAAGACTGTTACTGAGTGTGCCATACCACCATCTAAAAGTAAGGCAGCTGTGAGATCTAGAAATCTTGAATTTATTAATGGATATATATATATAGTTTTGTTAAATGTTATTACTACTACTAAAATGTTGATCTAGCTTTTTTTTTTCTATTATGATTTACTGTGCTTTTGAGTTTAACTGCATGCCATGTATTTTTTTTTGTGCCTGCTTGTTTACATTTCTTGGTTGTGTACACCAGAAACAAACTATCCTGTTGGAATTTCCAGCACTTAGGATAAGTTGGCATGTGGATCTGGTGTTATCCTGTTACTGCTGCTCTCTGTATCCATTCAGCCATATTGTTTCTAGAATCTTCCAATTTTCTCAAATTTTTTGTTGTTTTGCATGTACAATTGTTACTAACTGTATGCTCTGTTTTCATGGTGATAAAAAAAGCATTCTTGTCATTTATTAATTTGAAAAATGTTGTTATCTTTTAGTATTATTAATTTCTTTATCAATTAAAGTTTATTTCATTTTTTACTTCTAAAAAAATATTCACTCACCACCCTTTGAAACAAAGATTATTTTCTTAAATTATTTTATTGAAGTTTGCGGGTTATAGGTATTCAGAGATAATTTGGTTATGTTATTTCTCTTTGATCAGATGAGTACCCAACTTAAGTTGATGAAAGAAAATGGTGCTGACCACAGTCTGTTCATATTCTATGGTCACAAAAATATATTAATACTACTTCATCTGCCCTTATTAGGACTGAAAGGTTTACTGTATCTTTCAAACCTACTGTCAACCACAATTCACTGATACAATGTATAGTGCAAGATTTAATCTTACTTATCATCATAGAATAAACTAAAGCTCTCTTCAAAATTAGTCTTTATTGAATCATAATGTATGCAGATGTTTTTGAAACAAAAATTTTATGTTTACTATAGAGCTTATCATAAATGTAAAAAACATTGGTGTGTTTTTAATATGACTGGAAATACAAGAACAAAACCACACTTTACTGAGAAAATGTGTTATTTCTTTACATGGTGCTGAAGTGATCCAAAACACTTCATTCTTTATTGATATATTTTTCATTATTCTTCAAAACAGCTTATTCCCTCTCCCCACTCTAAATTACCGTTTGCTTTTTGAAACTACAATTTCTTTCCAAAATGTTAACTGGACCGAGTCCATAATTAATTTTTTTTTTAAATTGTAAATTTTATGTACCTTTTACATTAGAGATGACATCACACTTTTTTGTTTCTACCTCTTCCCAAATACCTGACATTCTCTTCCCCTCTCCACCTACCCACTAAGTGTGAAGTCATGTATTTGTACTCAAGGTTAAGTTCTTACATTTTCAGAGCACTTGGTTAAAATCCTTGTACACTCAAGTGTTTGTAAATATCTCCTGATCTACTTAAAATACTTTGTACAGTAATGTATACATCAACACTTCAACTTTTGCTATGGGATTACAAGGATAGATTTTGTTTTTGACACCTCTTGTTTCTAGTAGTTCACATTAATTTACCTGAACACTTGTTATTTACTTGATTAATTAAGCACTACACCACCTCACATTCGCATTACTTAATTACTTGTGCATGTTAATGAATAATTAGATTCTAATTTACTGTGACAGTGCAAATGAAAAAGAAACATGAACCCAATTTTCATTGCAGGAACAGCATGACAATGTTAATTTGTTGTGTTTACTGCTCTAAATATTAGTTATTTACTGCTCTAAATATTAGTTGTTTAAAAAATTAAATAATAACCTAGTTGTAAGATTTCACTTTGGTTTTATTTGAGAAATCTTGCCAGTGTCTTTTAAATGTTATTTTTCAATGCTATAAAATTATTAAAATGCCTTAATATTTCTGCTTCCTTATCCAAGCATTAAATTGTTAAGCTGAATATGGTAAAAAGCTCAGCCCTCTTAACATTATTAAGTAGTTGTCATGATAATATTGCTATGTGAATTTCAACATTATTTTAAACTTACACATTTTCCCATTAATTTTTTTTTTAATGAGTTTTAAAAATTGGCTTCACAACAGCAATATTTTCAGGTGAACTAAATTTCCTCAGTATCAAGCGTCAGGATGTACCAGCCCTTTTTAAGTAATCCCAGCTGTGTAGTTAGAAATATATATGTAGGAAGTAGTGCTTCTCAACAGGAAATAAGGAATGTGTACATAAAATCAACAACTCAAATCCAGGGCTGTATTATCTGAATTATCAGTAGGGTTAGGGAGGGGGCTGATCCTTAAATGATAACTTCCCCTCGTTAAATTATTGATGACTGAGTGCACTTTTCACTTCCATTGCTTTCAGTTTCAAAATAGTGTATATCATAACACTACAATTTTAAGTTGTCAGAATGGTAGACATAGATCTATATGAATATGTTTTGACCCCTCCAAACTAAAATAAGAAAATCCTGCCTACACAACTGTATTATATGTGCTGTTTTGTTGTTGGTCTTAAATTAATGCCAATAGAATTGTTGTAATTTATCTGGTCCAATCACGTATTATTTAGTTTTAAATCTTGCATCTATCACATGGCAATACATCTAACTGATGAACTTTTTGCACATATGCACATGTGGTTTTATCATACCTGGTGGTGTTACTAATTTTAAATAGATCCACCTTTTTTTAAGACCACATAAAAATGTTGATAAAGATGTATCCTATACCAGTTATACATCTTGATCTGACATTTTCCCCATTTAACAATAACTTTTGTAGTGTTAAATTTGACTAGTCATACTGACTTCGTTAAGGGATTTTTTTTTCCTAGGTTATAAAGGTTCTCTTTTTTTGTTTTGTTTTTTATTTGTACTTTTTTGCTGTTAAGTTTAGACTGAAATTTACATGGAATGTCTAGTGAATGCATGTTTGGATAAGACATCTGTTCATTATTGCATTTTGCTCTTACTGGTAATTTTATTAAAATTATTTTCTGAACTAACTGGAGTCTTTATATAGTCACTTTCTTTTAGTATTTTTTTACTTCATTTCAAGTCTTCAGCCAGCAATTATAATATGCCTACACCAAAATATCCTTATTTTTTTACTTAACATGCTAGAGCAAAAGTATGTTTTTTATTTTGCACTAAGGCATTATTTTCACACACTGTTCTAAACTGAACACTTAGATGAATGCTTTAAATAATTTTTGCATTTTGAGCACCTTGACATGTATTGAGACTAAACCAGTTTACTTAATATAATTATAAATGACCACTTTGCCCGCAATTAAACAGTAGTGTAATCTTTTTTTTAATAATCCACGGTTTTGAAATAACTTCACTGATAATTAAACATGTCACCCATTTCATTCTTACCAGACCAAAATAACAAAAATTAAATTTCAGTCAATGTGTATTACCTCTAAACAAACATGAATAGTACATTATGATTGCAAGAGGTCTGCAAGGTTGGAAATAACATTTTGTAGTCCTTATTCACAAAAAAATCCTAAGCACTACGCCAGTGTAAAGAATATGTGAAAAGTCCTTTACATGAAATGCATTGTTTACATTTGTTAAATAAATTCTGGTTTGGACAAGAGATCAAATGAAGTAGTATGGAATAAATAAATTTTGAGTATGTAAGCTTGTAAATATCAGTAAAATAAACAAAAGACTAGGTAATTACCTCTTTAAGTTTTAAAAAATTGTTGGTGATATGCAAAATTAAATTAAACATATTTTGACCAAATATCTTAAGACTACAAAAAAAAAAATTAATTACTAAGTGTACAATGATGTAAAAATATTAGTCACATTTTTAATGGGAAAAAATGTGTGCAGCTTGCACAGAAACATCAGAACTTCTTCATACAAACATTTAAATACAATCATTTAAGTTTAAAATTGATAAACATAGACATTACAAGAGATTATTACTGTTTTTAAAGGAAACATAGAAAATTGGTTCATTTAAAAAGCTTTAATAAATGTAGAGAATAACATTCAGTCTTGATTTAACAGCAATTAATCAATTAGTTACAGTAACCAGATCTTAGTAAGCTAACAACTTTGGTACATAAAAAACAAAGCATTTAATTTTACAACAAACTAAATTGAATATTCTGGGTAACCTGTGTTCAAATAAGAGAAAGAAAACATCAAAAGAAAAGACAAAAAGAAACCTTTATCACACCAACTGAAGCTATCAGTTTTTAAAATAATAGTCTTACTTTCATTCATACACATTTGTATTGCCTGATTTATTTAGTAACTTGATGGATGGCATGTGCTAGGTAATCCACATTGTTTGAAGAAACTCCAGCCACTGAAATACGGCCATCTTTTGTAAGGTAGACGGAAAACTCTTTAGTTAGGCGTTCAACCTATAAAATAAAAAAATGTTGCAACATTTTGAAGAATTCAGTAACAATCAGATGGAGAAAAAATATCACGAGCAAAAAAGTGACAATACCTGATCAGGCTTAAGTCCAGTGAAACAAAACATGCCAATCTGGTCAGTTATATGTTGCCAGTTACGGCTGGAGCCTTCTTTTTTCAGTCCATCCCTAAGGCGGTTTCTCATTAGTATTATTCTATCAGCCATTCCTTTGACTTCTTTAAGCCTGTAACAAAATAAAATTTTAGCTTAACTTTCATTTTTTTTTTAATTAATTTTTTTAAACTCTATATTATCTTACAATTTATTGTTTTTTAATTTACTCCAGACCAATGTAGGCTATTGATTTTTTTTTAACAATGAACTCCAGGCCAGACTTACCACTGAGCATTCAACTCTGGTGTGTTTAGAATCTTGGCAGCAATGCGAGCACCATGTACAGGAGGGTTGGAATACAATGGCCGAATGATGATTTTCACCTGGGACATAACCCTCTCAGCCTCCTCAGTGCTGGAGCAAATTATTGAAAATGCTCCAACACGTTCACCTAAAAATAGTTTAAAATTCACAACATTAAAGAAAATTAATAAAAAAGTTATGCAACTACCACATGAATAATGGATTGCATTATTACCATAAAGTCCCATATTCTTAGAAAATGACTGGCTTAAAGCCATTTGGTGCCCATCTCTGATGAACTGGCGTACAGCAAAAGCATCTTGGTCAGTAGATCCACTAGCAAAGCCTTGGTAAGCCATATCAAAATATGGGAAAAGCTTTCGCTGTTTGATAACCTGACTAAGCTCTTTCCATTGCTCTGGCTGAAAAAGAAAATGCGCAAAGTAAGGCTATAATCCATATAAAGTACCAAAAGTGTTCATTTATATATTATGATAAAACAGGTTCAGGCTTTTTTAAAAGTAAAATTTATTACAAATCTCAGCATACTAAAGAAAAGATTACCTTAGGATCAACACCAGTAGGATTGTGAGCACAAGCATGAAGCAAAACTACATCACCCTCAGGTATTTTCTAAAAAAAAAAATTCCCTTTCAATACAAGAAAAGCAAGGACGCTTGCTTCCAACTCCTCTACACATTCTATACAAGTCGTTCTCATTCAATAAAATTATTGATATGAACAAATAGTTTTAAAGCAAAATATGTTCATAATGTAATAATTTGGTTCATATCCTTCAATCATATAAAGCTAAAAAATAGTTAAGGCAGCTACCTGAATATCTTCAATAGCACCTTTGAAATCAAACCCACAGGTATTTGGATCATAGTATCTATAGGAGCTTACATTCAAGCCTGCATGCCTATCAGAGATAAGGAGTATCAAATTAGGAAACAATGGCTAACTTCAGTGTACAAAGAAATATAAATATTTTTAAATGAAGAAATATAAACAAGCTACTGGGAGAAAAGTTCTTACTTCAAAATTGGTGTATGGTTTCCCCAAGATGGTGTAGGTAACCAAAAGGTCTTACTTTTTGTATACCATTTGTTCTAAATAGAAATAAAAGAAAAAATATATCGCATTATAAATAAATTGCTCTATTGTCTGATTTTGCCCATGTATCAGGTCTCCGCTCTGCACACAGCAGATGGACCCAAGAAGGAGAGACATTGCCTTAACAACTTGTATATTGCAATAGCATGCACTTAATTTTCTAAAAACAAATTCTGACTTAAAAAGTCTTTCAAAAAAAGTATAATTAAAATGAGGATGGATCTTGTATGAAAATAGACTTTAGTATTTAGAATCTAAAAACTGTAAGTGATTTTAGTTTATTTGATTATTTACTTACAAAAAAATTAGCACCAATGCGCAGAGCACCAGTACCAGAAATGGCTTGGGTAGTCACATTCTGTAAAAGAAACATCATTTAATAGTAACACTAGAAACTGGGTGCGATGCTAGAAAAGTTATGATGAGTGAATAGGTGAATTTAAGAAGTTGAAACAAAAGCAATTATTGGCAAAGAGAAATTACCAATTTTTCCTTTAAAACTGGACTATCAGCTCCGAGTGCCAATTTGATGGCAGCATTGTAAAAATCAGGTACACCAATAATTCCAGCATATTCTTTATCTAAGCCTGCTTGTACAATGGAATCTTCAGCCTGATGCAATGAAAATGTATTATTTATTTTTCTACACAAAAATTAAGCAAGATAGCTACATCTCCCAAAATTAATAACCAATTGTAACTTTTTACCACTGAACTAATAGGTTATATGCTTTAAAAGAAATGAAAACAGAACATAACCTTTTTCACTGAAGGTAAAACATAGGGCTTTCCAGCATCATCGCGATAAGCACCCACTCCTAGATTCATCTTCTTAGGGCTGGTGTCTTTTTTAAATGCTTCTGTGACCCCAAGAATAGCATCTGGTGGTCCCATTTCCACATTGCTCCAGATAGCACTTAATAATAAATATAGTTTCGTGTTAATTCATTAATGGTCTATTTTATCAAAAGCATAATTAAATAACTTAGAATTAAAATTTGAAGAGAAGAAGAAAGGGAAATTAATAGACCTTTAACTTCAATAAATGCTATTTTTAAAAGCCTCTCTGAATTTTTATTCTATGTAGAGATTTATATAGGCCTACTCTATTACATGCTAGATCTACTATATAATGTTAATAGCACTGTTGCTACTTAAGTTGTAAGCCTAGATCATTTAATGAACATTTAAATTTCACAACTTTTTGTATTGTCAGCAATCTGTATAAATTAAAGCTTCACAGAAAGATAACTATGGCAAGGTTTGAGGGTAGGTTTAGTCACCCCCCAACTTGACCTTAACTGCTTATTCAAATGTAAAGACCTGATATGATCAGTGAAGATATTGTATCCAACAAGAATATTATTTATCTGATTTAGCTCAAGTAACTCAATTATAAAAGTTATTTAAATTTAAGATGTGAAGTATGAAAGAGGGAGGAATTAAGTTTGGCAATCAGCTCTTTTTAAATTTTTATCTAGCCATGTTGATGTTCATATTAAATTTATGTTACATTAAAACTGGACTTAAATTTGTAATGGGTGAAGTGTTAAAGTTACCTCTAGGTCAGATGAGGTTTTAGTTAAACTATTATTTAGGCCTATTATTTTTATATAGGCCTAATAAACTCATTTAAAGTTTGAAAAAAAAAAGAAAGTTCAAACTAAAATAATAGGCATTAGGGGGCCTAAATAAATAAATACTAGATCTATATTAGGACTAAGACAGTAAAACTCACTATGAGTTATAAAGTTATAAATCTAATTACTTCTATTAGGCCTAATTAGTAATTAACAATAATAATTAGAGAGAGAGAGAGAGTTAATTTTAAGTTAATAGTTAATACTCAGTTAAGTAACAAGTTAATTATAATTAATTTAATAGACTAATAATATAATTAATAGAACAGACTTAGATTTTTTTAGAACTAGATCTAGATTTTACTGACTAGGCACATAGGCCATTTATTTTATTTAGTTACTAGATCTAGATCTAGTACATTACACTGACTCTACAGATCTAGAAACTAGAGTCTAAGATCTAGATCTCTAGAATTCTAGATTACACATTAGAATCATTAGATCCTAAATTGTTTAAAATTAATAGGCCTATAGAGAATCTAAATAATAAATGATGTGTTGTGGAGTTGTGGACTCTTCTGTGGAGTGTTGACCTTCGTTTTTTGCAGATTTTTAGTACAACAAATTGATCTATATTTCGGATTACTCATTAGATCTAGAATATATATGCTAAACATAAATTATTAAAGAAAATATCAAAATTTACTTGTTTCTGCTTTGCTGGGCAAATACATTAGATGGGTTGATCAAACGAAAAACAGAGCTTGACTTTCTCATGACTGGAGCTGCCATCTTGGTGAGGTTCAATAGAAAGTTCAAGGTCAGGTTGTGTGGGTTTTCTGTCAAGGGAACCACGTGATTTCGTTTTCGGGAATATTGCTAGGCTAAGGATGTGCCTAGGCTTGACATAAAATGTCATTATTAGGCCCTGAGCAGACCAACTTGGCTGATGTCTTAATCGTGTCACCCGGTGCGGTAATTCTAGATGCCACCCTGGTCCCTGGTATACCGCAGTGGTGTAGGCAAGGGGTGCTAGTAGGGTGGAAATCCCCCCCCCCCCCATTCATCTTCTTGATGACCCCTGATAAATTAATTTAATTTCCAAGATTTATCATATTAATTGAGTGGATTATGAGAAGTACAATGTAATTCAGTGGACCCTAACAAAACAGCATTATGACCTCGATATTGCGGACGAAACCAGCTTCGCTGTCACATTGATAGCAGCATGCCAAATCCAAATTCAGCAAAGGGATCATCCATAAATGACGTCACGCTTTTTTTGATGATTTTTACCTCCACCTCCCCTCCGTCACACATCTTCACAAAAAGCCAGACCCCCCCCCCCCCAAATGACGTCACACCTCAGCGCCTCAAAATTGCAGTTGAATTTTTTTTTTTAAACATCGATATTTTTCCAAAATCTTGCCTGAACTCTGTCAAAATAGAGTATTTTAATTAATTCCTATTACAATTTATAAAAACAGTTTTCTAAAACGTGAAATAACGTCTAAAATTCGTTTTCTAACATTGCTTTTTTATAATGCAAAAGTGTTACGTCGCACCATCTGACCCCCCCCCCCCCCCCTCCCACTCATCACACACCGTCATAAAATTATGGCCTTTTGTCCGTCTCGGTCTTTTGTCCTTGTCGGCGAGAGGACTGAAAAAGCCGCATCAGTAAGGCCAGGTTATTATTTTGCAGAATATGGGCGTTATAAGAACTGTCATTCCGAAATACGACAGCGTTCTCTAAGCTTGTGATACATAGAGAGTGATATAAATAAAATAACAACAAACTTCAGACATTTATTAACGGACGCCTGTGTCGCATATTGAACATCAGGTGGCCTGAGAAAATTGCAAACACCGAACTATGAAAAAACCCATGGTAAATAAATACAAAAGCGCGAATGAGGATGGATTGGACACACCTTGCGCAAACCAACAAACAACAACACCAGACAGGCTCTAGATCAGAGTTTCTTCCAGGCAGAGCCCCCCCCCCCCCCCGAAGAAAGTCTACCGCCCCCCCCCCCCCCCGAACGAGATGAATTTTATATAGTAAACATACACTTTTACTAGTGCCCGTCCCCCGTCCCCCAAAAATTTCAAAAGCCCCCCCCCCCCCCCCCCCCCCTCGGAGAAAAAAGTCTGGAAGAAACACTGCTTTAGATTGGAATCTCCAAAGAAAAAGGAGAGTAGGCAGGCTAAAAGAAACTTGGAAATTAAATTATTAGCATATGACACAATTGATTAACGATCCTTCACAAAATATTTGGGCCTTATGTCCAGTCGGCCTTTTGTCCGTCTCGGTCTTTTGTCCTTGTCGGCCTTTTGTCCGGATCCATCGGTTGTGAGTAGTCCTTGTAAAGTATAGAAGAGCTCTTTTTTATGAGAGTTAAAGATCTAGAGAATTTCTACTTCCTGTTTAGAGCTATCTAGAATTGAGTTAGCTAAAATAAGGCCACGTCAGTTTTGTTTTTGTATACATTTTACTATATAAAACACTAAGCACTGTTTAAAGTATTTTAGATGAAATAAACAAAATGGCATCTAATGACATTGGGGACTGGTACAGAGGTATTCCTCAAATATCAAAGTATTGGTTTACAGGATCAGTGATTGTGCCGCTCGTTGGACGAATAGGACTGCTGAGCCCGTTTTGGTTTCTTTTGGACTTCAAGTCGTTTTTATACAAATTTCAGGTGATAACGCAATTCTGCTTTGAATTTCCATTATCATTATCAATCATTATTAAAAAAATAAGTGGGATGATATTTGCAGTAAGCTACAATATCAGCTATTCTTAACAAGATTTCTTCTAAGTGTAGTTCTAGTACTAGTACACTAGCATTAGCTAGCTAGATGATAGATCTAGTCTAAGTCTAGTAGTAGATCTTGATCTAGTTGTTAGTAGTTACTAAGTCACTAGTTACTCTAGTTAACTCTAGTAGACAAACTTTCAAACACTAGGTCTAGAATCTAGATCTAGCTAGAATCTATGTCATTCTATGGGGTGTGGGGAAATTGCGAGACGCGAAAAGCGAAATGGCGAGGCGGGAAAATGCGAGAAGGTAATGCGAGACATACCTGCGGAATTAAGGGTAAATAGCGAGACACTTTTTGCGAAAAAAGTTTTTTCCTTTTTTCCCATCTTTATTTATTTAAATTATTTTTGTTTTGTTTTAAAATAAACAAGCATTTAGCCATACCCTTTAACACGAGTGTTGTATGTTGTTATTTTTTATCTAGATACTAAGAAGATAGATAGATCTTTATCTAGATCTATCTATTTAAAAATCCTAACATCGTTGCTGTGCTACTGTCATCGCCCGCTCTTGTTAGCGAGAGGAAAATCCCGTCTCAGTCGGCATTAATTTAAAAATCTAGCCCGCTCATGTTTATACAAACGTGAGCTGTGTCATTGTGAATTGGTATAATCTTGTCAGCAGGAGAGATATTTTGCAACATCTGTTTATTTTTTTATTAAGTAATTTTAATTACAAACAAAATTTACAAACAAAATCTTCTGAAACAGTCCTCAAACACACCTCGTGACACCATCTTTCACACATAGTACACCCAACCCAGTTCATTAGACTCCCATTTATACATTTTTCTTTTGCTACTTCTTCCAATCCACATTCACAACATTTCACATTCTCATCACAGTTGACCTCCTCGTTCATACCACAAACAACCTGGCACCCATGTTCTCATCATCATCATCCGCACGCTCAACATCTGTTTTCCGTTTTTTATAATTTGTATTTTTTATCATTTCTGAAATTTTGGCAATGTCTTGCTCATTGTTGTCACCAGCAGTTGAGTTTTTTTAAACATCGATATTTTCCCAAAATCTTGTCTAATTTCGGTCAAAATAGAGTATTTTAATCAATTCCTATTACAATGTATTAAAACAGTTTTCTAAAACGCGAAAAAACGTCTAAAATTCTTTTTCTAACATTGCTTTTTTATAGTGTGACTTCACATCTAACCCCCCCCCCTCATCACACATCGTCATAAAATTACAGATCCCCCCCCCCCCCCTACGAGTGTGACGTCATTTATGGAAGACCCCAAATAACACCACCACCAAAACCAAAAAATTCAGATAAGTTCAACTTGGTTTTAAAAATATTTGAAGTAGGCCCATAGCTTACGATATAGCACGAGCAACTGATAATATCGGTGACGTCACTTTATTTTGTTGTATCCAAATGATGTAGGCACTTCCTTGTGCTTAGATTTATATGGTAAAAAAAGCTAGAAAAAAATCGTAGGCGGCGGCTATAATACAAAATTTCTATGCAACAATAGAAAATATGTTTGCGGCGGCAGCGGATCCGGGCACGGCGATCTTCAAAGACGGTAAATCAGGCGGCCTCGGCGTTCCACACAAAAGACAGAAGTTGATCTATCGTCGGCGGTATTTCCGTCGGTTTCGAACAAGGTGGTATTCTAAGTCGACACAAAAGATAGGGGGAGTTGACAAATCATCAGTATGTCTAGCGACGGAAAAATCGGAAGTTTTAAGAATGTAAACGAAACTTCTTTGAAGTCTGGACCAAATACCACTGAAAATTGGGTGCGGTAAATTTTTCGCAGAAATCTTCGCATTTCAACACCACCCAGCGTAAGTATCGGCTTGTGGTAAAATGCGAGACAAAAAAGTCACGTGACCGACCGTTTTCGCGCCCTTCTCGCATTTTCCCGCCTCGCCATTTCGCTTTTCGCGTCTCGCAATTTCCCCACACCCCATTCTATGTGCTAATCACTTCTCTTACACTACAGTACTACAGATCTTACTCAATCTAGCTCTTACTAACCTAAACTTAATAAACTGACTTTATTAACGGCAAGGGTCAATCAGGTCATGGTAAAATGCAAGACGGGAAATGGTGAGGCAGTAATTTGAGAGAAGACTGTGAAAACTGCCTGTCATTTATGTCTTGGATTCTAGATTCTACCTCTATCTGATTTGTAGACTTGGTTCACTGAATCTGATTTTCCATTTCTAACCACGCCTGAAATTTGTTGATGAGCGAACAGCTTGTTTCAATTGTTGTGTCGATGATTGAACTTCTTCCTATTATGTTGACTTTAGATGCCACCCAGTATACTAGTATATAGGCCCTAAAATTTTAAAAATATTGATCGTTTTTATTTTTTCTCTTCTAATGTTCATTTAAATTTTGTTTCATTTTTAATATCAGAATCTAAATTTTCCACTGATATTTTTCAGGCCTACATATTTAATTAAATTTTCACAAAAAAGTAGGTCTATTGTTAAAATATAAATGTTGTAACACGTCAAGTAATAAAACTATAAAGGCTTAAACACTTGTTTTATTTTAGTTGTCTTGGGCTCACAAACTTTTAATTGATATCTGAATACTTCATAGAGAAAATTTGATTATGAAATGAATAAACAGCGGCTCTCATAATATAATTTTGATTTCCTTACCAGCTATGGCGACCAATCACTGCTGCATTATACTACCCAATTTCTGGACCCAAAGGATTTCACTACTTAATGAATCTCTATTTTCTTTACTCATATTCAACAAGACTTGAAACAGGTTTGTCAATATGTTTAAAATATTTTTAAAAGCATATTTTATTTAAGCAAAATATGGGCTTAACTGGCATTACATACTGAAAAAAGTTTTGTTCTTTTTTGAAAAAAACTTTTATAATTCACATAAGTAATTACATTTTCTTATTTAATATTGATTCGTCTATCTTTTTCAGATACATTTTCTGGGTCCCCCGCTGACTATGCTTTCATGCTGCTTTTTAACTGGATTTGTCTAGTTGTATCCTTTATGTATTTGGCTTAAATCATGTATGGTTTGTGTTCAACAATAAAGGATGGGTTAATTTTAAGGACACATTGAAAATACTGGGCACTATACTGAAAATAGTTATGTTAGATCATTAAGCTTAGCCTTTGCTTGGGTGCTGAAATAGTTATTTAGTGTTATTAAATAAGTTTTATATTAGACCAGTCATTTTATTTTGCGAAAATAATTATTGCTTTAACACCATTGTAAGATCATAGGCTTTGCTGCTGATCTAGCGGTAAGACTCAGTAATTAAACATATTGGTAATGTATCATGATAAAATTAAAATTATTAACAAGTTAATTGTGACTTGATTGCAAATCTACCAGTCGTAAATTGTCTACTTATTTATTAAAAAAAATTAGTTGCAGTGTATTGTATACAAAAGTTCTTGATACTTTTCTCACACAGATCTTGATGGATCCACTAGTGCTCAGTGTTCTTTATGTATGGTGTCAGCTAAACAAAGACCAGATCATTTCATTTTGGTTTGGGACTCGTTTTAAGGTATGCTAACTTTTTACTTCTTGCATTGTGTTTATTGGAGATTATTTACCCTTTCATGGTAATCTTCATCTCAATGATAGATCCACCATTAGCAAGAGAAGGGACATAACTGCATTAAAAAAACAGGATGGTGTAAAAACAAACATAAACCCATGTTTACTTGTCTATTGCATGAATATACACTTCTCTAATTCTTGTTGATTAATTAACAAGATAGAACATCAGAAAGTCTTACGCTAATGCAACAGTTAAAATAATAAACATGGGTCTAGAAATAAGTTATTGTCACTGTCATTGGTTGAAGTATCAAAATTGTTTAATTAAATAAGATTTGGAAATTAAAAAAACCTTACATCTACAACTCACTGCATCTCTGACTGAATTAAAGAGAAAATTATCAAAAGTGCTACACATTTTTTGTTGTTTATTTCAGGCAATGTATCTGCCTTGGGTTTTGTTTGCTTTCAATCTCATCATTGGAAATGGGTATGAAATGATTATTGTTTGCTTTTTTTACTGCGTTTGATCTCTTCATGTGATTATTAAAAGTTAAATATTTGTAAACCAAGGATTCAAGGAATTTGTTTAAAAAAAAGAAAATCCACAATGATTTTTTTAATTAAGTTAAAATTTTTAAATCTTGAGATATGTAAACAAAAAAATTCATGAGTTCTATTATTTTTTTGTCTGTATAAAAATAATAGTGCAAGAGGTGGTCTAGACATTAGTTCCCCATGAACAACTTATGGTCAAATAGATATCTTTTAACAATTGAATATATTCCAGAGGTATGATGGAGCTGTTTGGCATTGTTGTTGGCCATCTGTATTTCTTCTTGATGTTCAAATACCCACAAGACTTCGGTGGTGCCCAGCTTCTTACTGTACCAAATATACTGTAAGTTAATCTTTTATTTCCTTAAGTTTAAAGTTTTTTTGTTTTATTTTTAATTTTCTGTATTTCTTATATGTGACCTAACTTAGCACTCTTTTCATGTTAAAATCTGAAATTTTTATTACACTAGACCCTGATTGTTATAATTTATTATTGTTCAATATTACTGGCTAGTTCAATGATGTATGTTAAATTTCATGTATGGTACTTTTTTTGTCTTTTATCAAAAATGTTGCGTTTTTAGGTTTTCTTGACCTCTCTTTCTTAAGCCCAATTATTGAGCCCACCTAACTTCAATAAATGCTGTAACTTGGCTTAATTCTGGCAACTGTAACTAGTGCTGGCATTGTTTATTCTTAGTTTTGCCTTTCTAAAATAATTATGAGATATTTTTTTGCCCTAAACTGAGCTTTTTTTTTATTATTTTTTACAGTCATCTCATCTTTCTTTATGGTAGAACTAATTTTTAATGTTGAGTATCTTGTTTGTTTTTCTTTCTGTAGCTACCGCTTTTTCCCTAAAACTCGTCCAGCGACTGGGGGATTCGGTCAAGCACCAGCTTCAAGAAGAACTGAGGGTGGCAATGATGGCTGGAGGCATGACTGGGGGAGGGGGCAGCAGCTGGGAGGTGATTAAAACAAACTGCTGGGAAAACTTCAGGGGGTCGGGGGGGGGGGGGGGTCGTTATTTTAAATTATTTTAGTGAAGTTTTTATAAGTACCAGAGGACCACACACAACAAACTTCTTAAATTTTAGATGGGTTTTACAAAACAGAAACTTGGTAATTCACTGTGTGTGGGTTTCCCCAACATCTAAGTAAGATTTTGTTTTATATACAAGGTGGGGTGAATTTTTATTTTATTACTTTATTTTAAAAACCCAGTTTTATCATTCATATTGTTAATTGAAACAGTTTTGAAAAACTTAAAAAGCTAATGTGTACACCCAGTATGCTTTTTTTTTTAAATATTGGTAATTTAGAAAGTTTTTTTTTTATTAGTTTTTTTTTTTTTTTTAAATCTTGTTTAATAAGTAGGCCTATATATTACAAAATCATATATTATTTATTATGAATGAGTTGGTTGTCGTCTAATTGATACCAACAACTGAATGTAATTTTGAAGACTCATCCATTACTTAAAATGTTCATTTATTTTTGAAATACCAATGAGCATCATTTTAAATTTCTAAAAATATTTTTAGCTGTAATAGCTCACTATTGTTCATTATATAGTATGTTGAAGGACACTATAAAACTTTGTGAAGATAAACTGCATATGCAGAAGACTTAAACATCTGCACTGATGGTTATATGAATTATTCAGATAATCCTACAGAGTAAAATTAAACATGCTTTGCAGTATAGCTCATGACAATTTTATGCTAATGGACATTGTACAAATAAAACTTGAATATCATATGAAGAAGGTTGTTCATACAAAAATGTGGTAGATGTATTCTGGGTGATCTGCAACATCCTGATCAAATATTCCATTTGAATTTTGTTTGTTTGATCATGTTTGAGGTTACTTTTTTGCATTGTCTGTTTTGAATGTTTGATTGAATTGTATGACCAACTCTGATTTTCAGACTGTATGTGTAAGTAGCCCCAACAATGAATGACTGGCTTTAAAAACTTTATCTTTGGAAAGATTATTTTTTTGTACTGCAGGGAAGCCATTTTTAAATTACTGAAAATTGTGAAAAATGAACTCTGTGATCAGCCATAAAAATTAAATGTTTTTGCCTCATTGTTTGTACAGATACCATGTAGTTGTAGCAATAGATTCTCCCATCAAATCTCTGTTTAGTTGTACATTTTTTTTTCTTGAATGATTTTTACCTTAATTTATGATATTGGCCAGATTTTTACAAAAGTTCAGATCACTTTAAATTTCTGCATGCTAAGCTGGATCATCTGTGCCATAAGCAGATTAAACATGAATGAATTTTTTTTTAAAATATGTTTGTATGTCAGTAAAATGTCTGTTTAAATATTTTATTTTCTGTTCATATATTGATACATTTTCTCATGCAATTGAAATAAAATTTACTTTAAAGTTCTGATTATCTGTTGTAAGCGTGTTAATTAAATGAGAGATGCTAGTTGGGTTTTAATTTTGTTTTACTAACTTGACTATGACTTATTTAAAAATCCTTTTATTGTCCACAACAGTATAAATCACACTTAATTATTGCATGAATCTTTAATGATGTAATGTATCATGTAAACAATGCCCTTTAGCCATGCACAGTGCTAGTAATTTCATAGTTGAAATCAGTGGATTAAACTCACCTAAACACTAGTCATCATCATGAGACAGGCTGTTGCCTTCAAGCATAAACCTGTTAGGGGTGGTTGTAAGAAATGTATGACATTGTTGAAAGAGAACTCAAAAGGTGAAGACTAATGCAGTTATGAAAGCAGCTCAATTCAGAATAAGTAGATGTTAAACCCTGCTGTGTATTGTAAAGAGCGCTTGTTCTAATGCTGGGAGACCGAAAATAATTCAAATGACCTCAAAACAGCCTTTATTCCAAACTGTCATTTGTGATGAGAAGTGAGAAGAAAATGGCTTCAAATTGACTTCAGCAGGCTTAAATAAATGTTATAGGAATAATTATTTCACTATACACCCAACATTTTACAGTAAGTATGGATAATTAGCTTACAATAAGCTAGTTGCTTTGATCATATAAATAATTTATCATTACTATTGTGTTCCAGCCATTATCGTGCTAGACCATTACATTGACAGTCATAGAGAGGAGAATGGTAATACCACAGCCAACATACACAGGCCCTGTCTCCCTACATAGAGGAGAATGGTAATACCACAGCCAACATACACAGGTCTTGTCTCCCTACATAGGGGAGAATGGTAATACCACAGCCAACATACACAGGTCATGTCTCCCTACATAGGGGAGAATGGTAATACCACAGCCAACATACACAGGCCCTGTCTCCCTACATAGGGGAGAATGGTAATACCACAGCCAACATACATAGGTCCTGTCTCCCTACATAGGGGAGAATGGTAATACCACAGCCAACATAAACAGGCCCTGTCTCCCTACATAGGGGAGAATGGTAATACCACAAGAACATACACAGGCCCTGTCTCCCTACATAGGGGAGAATGGTAATACCACAGCCAACATACACAGGCCCTGTCTCCCTATATAGGGTAGGGGAGAATGGTAATACCACAGCCAACATACACAGGCCCTGTCTCCCTATATAGGGTAGGGGAGAATGGTAATACCACAGCCAACATACACAGGCCCTGTCTCCCTACATAGGGGAGAATGGTAATACCACAGCCAACATACACAGGTCCTGTCTCCCTACATAGGGGAGAATGGTAATACCACAGCCAACATACACAGGCTCTGTCTCACTACATAGGGGAGAATGGTAATACCACAGCCAACATACACAGGCCCTGTCTCCCTACATAGGGGAGAATGGTAATACCACAGCCAACATACATAGGTCCTGTCTCCCTACATAGGGGAGAATGGTAATACCACAGCCAAAATAAACAGGCCCTGTCTCCCTACATAGGGGAGAATGGTAATACCACAAGAACATACACAGGCCCTGTCTCCCTACATAGGGGAGAATGGTAATGCCAACATACACAGGCCCTGTCTCCCTACATAGGGTAGAATGGTAATACCACAGCCAACATACACAGGCCCTGTCTCCCTATATAGGGTAGGGGAGAATGGTAATACCACAGCCAACATACACAGGCCCTGTCTCCCTACATAGGGGAGAATGGTAATACCACAGCCAACATACACAGGCCCTGTCTCCCTACATAGGGGAGAATGGTAATACCACAGCCAACATAAACAGGCCCTGTCTCCTTACATAGGGGAGAATGGTAATACCACAAGAACATACACAGGCCCTGTCTCCCTACCTAGGGGAGAATGGTAATACCACAGCCAACATGCACAGGCTGTTCCTCTAAATATCCTGCGAAGACTGAACTAATAGTAATAATCTACCCACAGTTTATTCCCTCATTTGTGTGACACGAAGTAAAAAATAACAAACAAAAAAACTAACAGCCTAGTGTGATGTACCAGCTGGTGTGACATGTGTTCCTTTAGTTGTGTGTTCTCGTTATTTAGCCGACACACAATGTCGCTGCATGACAACTCTGAGGTATGAGCTGGGTTTTTTTTTAAAAATGCAAGTGGAATTATAACTGACGTTAACCTCCCCCCCCCCCTTCATCAACGTGTATCGTTACATGTCACATGTCCTTAAAAAGCCAGGTTCCCCATCAGACGTCAGGTCTGTGCTGACGTCTGCGAGTTATATTTGTCCTCAACATACTTAGGATACAAAAAACACGTAATCTGTATATCCGTGTAGTAGACGTTTAATTAAAAGGCAGTACTTGTGTTACCCCCCCCCCCCCCCCCACCGCGCCACATGCTCAAATGACAGTGTTTATGTTAATAAAATGGGCGCCCCAGCGGTAAGCCGATGATCTAGGGGAAATGGCAGTCATTAACACCCAGTGGCTGATGACTTTTTAGAATGCCGCGTGCTATTACAGAAATAGTTTGAACATCTTACTTTTCATTTAAAACAGTTTTAAAATATATTTTTTTCTATTCCGTCCATTGAGTGTGTGTGTGTGGATGGGTGCGGGTGGGGGGTGGCAGTGATAGAGCTCCTGTAGACAGCAGTAGCGTAGCGAGGGGGGGGGGGGGACATATGTCCCCGGACGCCGACCTTAGCGGGCGCCAAAATGGGTTGGAATAATAAATTGAAAGGTTGAGGGTGGTGCAAATCGAAAGTTTGAGGGGGGTGGGGGTGGGGTGCAAATCGAAATCTTGAGGGGGGGGGGGGGGGGTGCAAAGCGAAAGGTTGAGGGGGCGGGTGCAAATCGCAAAAAAAATTTTTTAATCGGGCAAAAATTCTAAATCCAGATTTATCAAAATTTCGGCGTTTTATGAGTATTCGAGTCAGAAAAACTGGGTTTTGCGATTCTGTGTCTGTAAACACGATAACTTGAGTACCGTTAAAGTACTTCTCAGCACTTCTTTAGACAACACCGACAAAGGCCGAATGAGGGATCTTTATGCAGGGACCACCCATGATTCCTTTATACAATGTTCAGGTACTCACCCCAAGGAATCTATAATCTACTGGGACAAAAAGGAGCCATGTTAAAATATTGAAGTCATACTTGAATATGCCCAACTCCTTCAGTGTTTATCATTGTGAGCTCGAAAAGCTCTGGCTAACTTTTGGTTATTTTTGCTTTTGGTTTTGTATGAAATACCGCACAGCAAGCATCGAAATGGCACCAAGCGCAAGCAATAAAAAGTGTAGTCTCACTCCTTACTCGACACGCACCCATCCCCGCTCATATCTGGAATATTCCACCATTAGTCTCATTCCTGACACCCCCCCCCCCCCATCCTCACCCCTCTGATGTTTGCCACTGTGGTCGCGTACAGGCCTAAATAATTTGAGTCACGTGACTAGCAGAAGCACATATTAACTTGCCCGGTTGAGCAAGCAAAATTACATTTTTAGTTTTTACATTAATTCATTGTGTGCTCCTATCATCGGATAAGGTTTGTAATAGATACGGTTTAGCAATTCATTTTTTCTTAATCACATAAGTATTTTATTCCGTTTAAAATGAACTTTACTTTTAAATATTTTTTGTTTCGTTGAAGTATGTGTACCATTATTCTGTTCATGCCCGCACTGAGTTTTTTTTTTCTAGCTGAGTACACAGAAGCCTAGTTATTCACCTGACGTCATTGGTCTGTGTGGTCAAGTCGTAACGCGCACCCTTGATAACAGGTATGTCTCCAGAATATTCCCGTGGTCGAGTCTCTACCATCCTACTCCAACGGGTACCTGGTCAAAGTCTAGAACAGTAGAGATAGATGGTCATTTTACTGACCACACCATACTGCTAAATCTCTATGAAATAGGCCTACTGAATTTAGCAGAAGTGAGAATCATCGTTTTAATTTTTTTATCATTAGTTTGAAAACATTCACAATTTTTTTTATATTTATAAGAAATTATATTTATCGAAGGGAAATTGTTTTAATTAAGCTTTTTTGTGCGTAATTATTTTTTTATTTCGTTACCGAAGGTTGCTGTGCTATTTTGTGTCAAACTTTACTAACCTTTGTAGATTGTCGCCAAGATGGCTTCGTTTCCAGCTAAACGTGGCATTATCATCGGACTGCTAATCTGCACAAGCTCACTTGTCGGCATAAGTTCACTTCTTATCTTCACCTCCCACAATGTTTACCCACCCACGCTGCGTACGTCACTGGGTGACGTCACTGGAACTCGGAAACATATAGAAAACAAACCTATAGAGGTTTTCTATGGGATCCCTTATGCCCAACCTCCTGTGAGAGAGCTGAGGTTTAAACCTCCGGTGCCGCAAGAGCCGTGGTCCGGCACCAAAGACGCCACCCAGAAACCAAATTCCTGCTGGCAAGAGATTGACGAGGCGTTCGATCGTTTCCCGGGGGTGGAGATGTGGAACCCCAACACGGCGAGAAGCGAAGACTGCCTGTACCTCAACGTCTGGCGGCCGTCTTGCTCAGTCGGCTGTAACGAACCCAAACCGATAATGGTGTGGATATACGGCGGAGGTTTTTACTCCGGTTCCACAACGCTTGATGTCTACGATGGCTCGTATTTATCCGCCTATAAAGACGTCATCGTCGTATCCATTGCCTACAGACTTGGAGTTTTAGGTTTTATGTTTTCAGACAGTGACGACGCCCCTGGAAATATGGGGCTGTTAGACCAGACAATGGCTCTACGGTGGGTGAAAGACAACGCCGTCAACTTAGGTGGGTCGCCGGACGACATCACACTATTCGGAGAAAGTGCGGGTGCGATTAGCGTTGGGTATCATCTGCTGTCCCCGCTATCGCGTGACCTGTTCACCTACGCCATCATGGAAAGCGCCTCGCCGTTGTTTGAGTTGCCAGCTGGTAAAAAAGAAGCCGCTTTAAATAAAACAATTATCCTAGCTGACATCCTCTCCTGTCCAACTGACCCGCCCGCTGCCATGATGACCTGCCTCCGAGAAATCGACTCACAAACCATCACGAAAAAACAATGGGAGCTTGAGAGATTTTATCCCGGCATTCCTTTTTGGCCGTTGGTAGACGGATACTTCCTGCCTGACGAACCCGCGCTCATGATTCAACGCGGTGACGTCAAAAACACCAGCGTCATAATCGGAGTCAACGCCAACGAAGGAACCTATTTCTTTGTTTATTTATTCATGAAATATTTCCCCATCAACGGAGATGGGCAGATCACAGAGAGGCAATACGACGAAATCCTACACGAAATCTTCTCCGGCGACAGCTCAAAAGTATCGCAGGTAAAGCAAGAGTACTCACGAGAACCAGGCCTGTCTTACACTGCCAGACTAGACGCCATCTACGGCGACAAGCGGTTCAAATGCCCGGTCGTGGACTTCGCTCGTGAGTACGCCAAGGTCGGCGGGAAAATTTACCTGTACAGCTTTGAGCATCGCGTGAGTACCAACCCGTGGCCGGAGTGGCTGGGCGTGGCCCACGGGTATGAAATTGAGATCGTCTTTGGCTTGCCTTTAGCTCCAAGCTCCAGATACACGGATCAGGAGAGGGAGCTGAGCTTAAAAGTGATGGAGTTGTGGACCAATTTGGCAAAAACTGGGTAAGATTTTGCTTTTCGTTAAATTGTGTTTAGTAAAGATTTCTTAAACATTGCTGGTAGGTAGTCTAGTAAAGGTGATAGGGTATCACCGTCTACTTGAATCTGAATAACAATGATGTTGGGTTTTTTTTGTGTCCATAGAAATTATTTTCCGCGTACAATTTTCAATTTGGTGTTAAAACCCAACGAGTAGAGAAAGCGAAACATTTAAATTGAATCAATTTTTTTTAATTAATAGAAGCCATAACACTAGAACAACAGAAATAGTAAAAAAAAAAAAACAGATAAATAAACCCTGTTTTTTGTTGTAATATGTAAATCTAGTTTTTATTATTGAGTTGCCAATTTTCAATTTTATGAATAAATATATTGTTGATGCTTTTTAATTGGATTTTTTTCAATCAATTCAGCAACCCAAACAAACAGAGTGAAACAATATGGCCGCCCTACACCTCAACCGATCAACATTACGTCATTATTGACTCGGAAGGAACAAGAATAGCCCGGAGCTTACGCCAGCAACAATGTGCTTTGTTGTCTAGGATGTAATACTGACTTCCATCATAATTCATAGCCCCGTTAAAAAAAATCTTGTGGCTTGTGGCAAAAGAAACTGAAGCGTAGTGTCAGTAGCGTACGCAGGGGGGGAGCAGGGGGAGCGGCCGCTCCCCCTCTGGCCATTTTCATCAAAGTGGCGCCTTTTTGGAAACTTTTTAAACTCAAACTTTTAAACAATGATATTTGTTAAAAAAATATTTTTTGGTCGGCACATCTATGTAAATCACAAGATTTCTTTTCATACAGCAATTAAGCATTATTGTACTAGTCTAGTAGTGTCTACGTTTACAACACGTATTAACAGCTGCATCAGTTTGCCATTCTAAAAATAACCATTACGATGCATTGCAATGTTTAAAAAACCTCTACGGTAGTACCACTTGGCAAGAGGGGCGTTAAGTTTAGGGCAACTGTATAATGTATTTGCTTACGAATAATTGAATTAGAAAATGTTATACATAAAACTTCACACATAATTACTTTATATATACAGTTTGAATCGTGTGATTAATTTTTAAAAAATTACAATACAGAAACAAATACAACTCATGTGGCACCTTTATTTAAATTTACTTATGAGCAAACTGCGTAGAGGTGGGGGACATTTTGACAAGGTCAATAACGTCATCACGATGAAGTAGTAGTATTCTTACAGTCTGGGCGATAGTGATTACGATTACAAATTATATGAAACAGTTACAACCCCCCCCCCTCCCCCATGGACCCTTCTGTAAAAAAATATTGTCATAATACCACTGCTACTTATTTAAATCTATTTCTGTAATATATATTTGTATAGTATATATTTGTGTAATATATATGTATGTTTAGAACAGGCATCTAAAAACTGACGCTATGTTCACTCTGAGTTGGTTATCCACCTCCCCCCCCCACACACACACACCTCACCACCACAATTGTGTAGAGCGACATTAATGTCACACCTAGGTATACACTGGGTTGGATAATTGACCTAAAGTGAACGAACAGTGGTGAATGAACCCCCCCCCCAACCCACCCCGAACTGATCTGTTAAGTACATGTAGAAAAACTCGTAATGATGTACCAAAGTACCATGCCGCCAGAAAATTAGCTTTTTAAAAGTAAAACTCTGTGAATATTGTTTTTGCAATTACCAGTAAAAATGTGTATGATCAATACAGTGATCTAACCCATACCAATCACTATGTTAAAAATGATCTTTAAAGAACACAAAGAAGCAGTAGTTAATTAGTAGTTAATTAAAAATATATGATCTGAACTAAAACACCAATATTTAGTTAAATGTAGGCTGTTAATCCGAATGTTTGTCTATTATATCGAAAAGCGTGGTTTTATACCAACTCTGATTTTAAAAACTTTCATTATGCTGTAATACTTTAGCATTTATGATGAAGATATATTAAATTCTGATTACAGACAAAAACATTTTGTAAACACGAATAGTGTTAAACTATTTCATTATATTCTAAAGTAATTATTTATTTGTTTTGACATTTATAATTAAATTTGTAGATATATACATATTTATATTAAGAGAGTGATTATTTCCCCTATTTCACTTGTCTTAAAAAATTTCCCAGGAATTATTATGTAAGAATTTTTTTTTTACAAGAATTACAAAACAGATTGTGTTACGTTCATTGTTTTTGGCTGTAGTGTGTATATATATATTTTTTTTTGTTTAGATCGATACAATTTTTGTTTTGTCGGCCTACATTGTGTGTTAATTTATTTTACATCATAGCGAAGTAATGACATACAGATAGTAATTATATATGTATATATGTATATATATATATATATATATATATATATATATATATATATATATATATATATATATATATATATATATATATATATATATATATAATACACGTATACAGAACGTGTTAAAAGTTCGGCGCCTTTTTTTGCTCTTTTCGCTCCCCCTACAACGAAAACCTGGATACGCCTCTGCGTAGTGTAAAGTAGGATTCCCAGATTTGGCGTTACCTATGGTTTCATGTTTTCCTCAGCTTGTTCATGTCTCATATATATATATATATATATATATATATATATATATATATATATATATATATATATATATATATATATATATATATATATATATATATAAAAACAGTAGATTAAATTTTTAAAACACGTGGGGCTGTAAAAACCTCATTGTGTTTTTATTACCTTTGTACAGAGTCAATGTATTTGTTGTTAAGAACATTCTAGGTAACTAAATACTAAATAAAATTTGAAACATTCTCAACACAATTTTTGTTTTTTTAATTTGTCAGGTATAAAATAAATAATTATAAAAACAAAGACAAGATGAAGTTCAATTTATAAATCAGAGGAAAACATTGAAATGCGTTCTCAAATATTAATGTTTTTTGAAATTTTTCGAATTTTGTTGCGTCATTTAAACGTAAACACAACAACTAGATTAGAATTAATATTTTAAATAATTTATTGTTCTAAATCTATGTTTGGTTTTTGGTAATTAATATTTTATGTACCGTAACAGTATTATAAAAAAACAATTTGTTTTTTTCTTCTTGTTTCATAGTGACATATATACAAATATAAAAACAACCATATTTAAAATAAATATAAAAAGCGCGCGCAAATGTGTTTTAATACATTTTTTAAATAATCATTAAAAAAGTTTTAAAAAACCCACGTTTTCTGATTGAACTAAAAAGTAGAAAATAAATGCTATAGGCCCTACATCACAATAATGCAAGCGATCACTCTACTATAAGCGATCAAAAACGTGGGGCGCCGAAGTAAAAGTTATATTACTATTGATTAGATAATACTATTGACTTTTATTAGGGAGCTTGTAGAGAGTCAACAGTATTAGAAACTGTAAGAAAATCACGGCGCCCCACGTTTTTGCTCGCTTATAGTAGAGTGATCGCTTGCATTATTGTGATGTAGGGCCTATAGCATTTATTTTCTACTTTTTAGTTCAATCAGAAAACGTGGGTTTTTTAAAACTTTTTTAATGATTATTATTTTCTACTTTTTAGTCTTTGTCTGTTTGTTTGCATTAAAATCTTGCTATCGATTTTATCTTTTCACTTTTTTTTGGGTAAACGAAGACAACTCGTAAAAAGACAACTCGTAAAAAGACAACTCGTAAAAAGACAACTCGTAAAAAACACGTTGTTTGAATACGTTACTGACTAGAACACATAGATTTGAACCCGTGTCGAGTGGGATAGCAATCGTGTGCCCAACCACTCGACCATATCGTCTCCCCCAAATTGGCCTACCTCCTGTAAGTTTAAACTCGGTTCAAGCTAAATTCTCTGCCCCTAAGCCTGTGGCGACATGTGATCGTTCGCTTCACTGCGCGCGAGGTACGCGTCGCTGGTTTTTTTTCTAACGCTAGCAGAGGAGAATTATATATATAGATTATATAGCGGTCTAAAATGCTCAATAAAATGTTTCCATTGATCAATTTAGTAATAATAACAATTGAATATTCAATGGTCATCCAAAAGAAAGCTTCCCTGAAAATTTCAGCGCGCTAGCTAACTGGGAAGTGCCAGAAATTTCGATCGCAAGATTTGATTGGAAAGACAAACAGTTACAAACAATTAAAATATTACATTTCTAAATTTTTTAATGATTTATTATTATTATTATTATTATTATTATTATTATTATTATTATTATTATTATTATTATTATTATTATTATTATTATTATTATTATTATTAAAGTTTATGAGTACATACAAAGAGTTTCGTCAACACCGGAAATAAACCTGGCTATTGCCATTAATTTATTAACTCAGTGGATGGTTAAATATCTCGTCCGTTTGATTGTTAAACGTGATTTATTTGACGAGATTATTTATTTCATTACGCAAAAAAAGCGATGGAAAAGAGGGGGGGGGGGGGGGGGGGGGTAATGGAAGAATCGTACTTGACTGTCTGCTCGCCACCATCTCAATACAAAGCTTATGACTACACGAAAACACGCGCATACACATTATTGAGTTGATAACACACACATACACATAAGTTAGTTTAAAACTTACGCGTACGCATAAATTAGATGAAACGAAGACTACACAAATGTTGAAGTTTGCGGTTTTTATTTTTTTTTTCAGAAAAATAACAACAAACAAATAAACGAAAGAATAACTAATAGCTATGTGACTCAAAGCAATGTTCAGTTTTTGTTCTAATTTTTGACCTCATCAATGTGAATATAAACACCAAACGAAGATCAGCAGTGAATTATGTCGCAGGCTCGGCGACCAACACATTTCTAAGGGACAGCGTGAGTACGTCGTGTACGTCCGATAGACCTTGATGCACGTCAGTAGTGAGCATCCATGTCGAACGTCATTGATAGATATCCGTATGGTACCACATTGACGTCCATAGGACGTAGGGCGTATATTATGCAAATCCACAGAAAGCGATACCAGTATAGATGCAAGCAATGGAAGTTAAAAATTGTTAGCCTGTTTAAGAATTAACTCAACAACAGTTACAGTAGAGCGCTGTTTTGACCAGCGAAACATGCGAGTTACATAAACATCACATAATTTAGTTTGATCACGGCTTTAACAACCCAATAAAATCGACAATACTTGTTAGCCGGTAGTTTCTAAAAATTACTTGTTTATCACTTAGAACCGGGAAAAGAGGAAGGGTGGTGGCGTTGTAAAATGGCGTTTAATTAGCCAATCTTGTTGGTTTTTTAAGATTCAATCATTGACCAAATATTCTGTGGAAAGAGAAATAAATTTAGATCTATTCAGTTTTATAATTATAATAAATACATTTATTTTGTATTCTAGTTAAAACATGAACATTAAAAAAAAAAATTCTCACTGCAAAATTTAAAAAAAATATTTTTTTTGCTTTATAAGTCGTTTAAAAAATTGATATACTGAGTTTTACAAAAACATATAGCGTATAGCTTTCTCAAGAGAAATATGAAACAATATAACGACAGCATAAGGAAGAGAGAAAAAAATCGATTATTTTTTTCTTGCATCACAGAACATAGTAGTAAAGGGGGATAATTAAACGTAATGTCAACTCTCTATCTACACTGCTGTAGAATTATGCTATGATCGCTGTGCATCTGTCGTATCGACCAGCCCACGGCTGGGTCTAGCCGAGCACCCGTTTAGACCAGAGCACCTCTAGCATCGATTCCACCTGAGGTTGACGTCTTTGTGGGACGTCAAGAAAATCTTTATCACGTCAGCTTTTTTTTTTCGAAATTTCCTATTTAGGAACACAACGTAAGCCATTGTTTATCGGCTGCGTACTCTTCAGCTCTAGATTTTTAAAGAATCTACTTTGACTAGGTTTTGTAAGACACATTTTTGAGTTATCTCCCTCATTGTTTTCTTATTTAATAAACATAATCAGATTATTTAAAGTTATGTCCCTTACAGGCTATCGCAGTTATTTAAACAGAGTGGAATAAAATAATGCAGCCTAGAATTAGCTTTTGATTTTTATTTCTAACCCGTTCCCCCCCCCCCCCCCCTCCCCCTTAGGATCGGCGCCCGGGGCGGCCGCCCCACTTGCCCTCTCCTAATTACGTCATTGGACATTACCCACCTAGCCCAGTGCAAGACGCACCCATTTTTAGGTGCGTGAACCACCTCTCCAAAATGCATGATCCACCTTGTCTAGCGAACCACCCACCTTTACTTACAACTCGATTCACCTTGCCCTGTACCTAACCTACTTTTCATAGACAGTAATATACCTTTCTTTAAACGTGGCACGGTTCTCCCAAATCATGACTTACTTCTCCCAAATCATGACTTACTTCCCACAGATCGCGACCCACTTTTCCCATATCGTACGACATACTTCCCGCAGATCGCGACCCACTTTTCCCATATCGTATGACATACTTCCCCAGATCGCGACCCACTTTTCCCCTATCGTCTGACATACTTCCCCCAGATCGCGACCCACTTTTCCCATATTGTATGACATACTTCCCCAGATCGCAACCCACTTTTCCCATATTGTATGACATACTTCCCCAGATCGCGACCCACTTTTCCAATATCGTATGACATACTTCCCCCAGATCGCGACCCACTTTTCCCTTATCGTGTGACATACTTCCCCCAGATCGCGACCTACTTTTCCCTACCTGGATCTTTACGAACCACCTGTCGCCAGAGAAAACATCTGTTTTTAAACTATACAGGTTGTTCACACATCACAAAATAGCCCGAACATTGGCCACTCACCCCAACACAACGCATACAGTTAAAGTTCCTCCAGGAACGCACACTCGTGCCGCCGCAAGTTCCTGTCTTCTCTGATGCCAGCCGAGTCTATGTCAATATGACGTTGGTCGTCTGCTGTGTACGGTGGCCATACGACATCGCCGTCCGTGTTGGGATTGCTGGGAAATAGCAGAATTGAATTAAGCATAAATTATGGTTTTAAAAAAGCTACGGATGGATTAAGAACATGTTTCAATAAATATTACACCCTAAGCTCTGTAGATGTAGACTTGTAAAATAAATGGGAGGGGGGGGGGGGAGGGGGGGAGGAAACTATGATAAATGCCTTAACAATCTTCAATAGTTCCCCTCCCACCCATTAGCATCGATGAAATAGGTTATTTCACATCAAACAAAATAATTCAGAATGTTTTCTAAACGGCTTAGTTAATAAACCACGTGCAGTCACGCCGTATTATTTGATCACACGGCCAAATAGAGCCACGCCCACTCTCAGTCTCATTAAGCTTCCTCTGGAAAACTCCGACTCACATTAAATAACCCCCAATCACTCTCATTAACACAAGTTAACTCACATGAAACCCTGCCCCCGAAACCAACCCCCATCATACTAAACCACGCCTACTCACAAAAAGCCCCGCCGCCGAAACCAATCCCCCTAATACTAAACCACACCCATCACATAAAAACCACACCTACTAAGCCATGTCAACTCACCCACTCTGAGCAAACCTCGTCCACATTGACATCACTCCCGAGCTCAGCTCCCTCTCCTGATCCGTGTATTTCGAGCTCGGAGCTAAAGGCAAGCCAAAGACGATCTCAATCTCATACCCGTGGGCCACGCCCAGCCACTTGGGCCAGGGGTTGCTACTCACACGGTGTTCAAAATTGTACAGGTAAACTTTCCCGCCAATTTTTGAAAACTCCTGGGCAAAATTTATAACGGGGCATTTGAAAAGCGTATCACCGGATATGGCGTCAACCCTGTTCGTGTAGGAGATGCTGGCGTTTCTAGCGTATTCCCGTTTGACTTTCTCAATCACCGTTTCGTCGGATTCGAATATATTTTGGAGAATGTTGTTGTACTGGGTTTCTGTAAGTTGGCCGTTGTCATCGAGTGGAAAATCTTCTTTGAAGCCGTACAGGTCAAAGTAGAGCCCTTCGTTTTTGTTGACACCGAGTATCACACTCGTGTTTTTGATGTCACCGCGGCGTATCATGTCCAGGGGGTGGTCAGGCAGGAAGTAGCCGTCCACGACAGGACCCATCGGCACATCGAAATAATACGAGGTCTGTTCCCACTGTTTTTGGCTGATCACCTCGGGGCGGACGTCTCTTAAACAAGCCACATCGCCTGCGGTACAGTTGAGACTGAGGGCGAAGTTTGAAGCTCTTTTGAGGGCGAGCGAGTGCTCCTGCACCGCCCAGCCGGCGAGGGGCGTGGCGCTTTCCATGATGGCGTAGGTGAACAGGTCACGTGATACGGGCGAAAGAAGGTGGAACCCAACGCTAGCGGCACCGGCGCTCTCTCCGAATAGCGTGATGTCGTCTGCTGACCCTCCTAAGCTGACGGCGTTGTCTTTCACCCACTTAAGCGCCAGAGCTTGATCCAGAAGTCCAGCATTACCTGGAGCGTCGGGGCTGTTGAGAAACAAAAAACCCATCGCGCCGATTCTATAAGCAATGGACACGACGATGACGTCATTGAATGCGGATAAATACGAGCCGTCGTAGACGTCAAGCGTCGCGGTGCCGGAAGAAAAACCTCCGCCGTATATCCACACCATTATCGGTTTGGGTTCGTTACAGCCGACTGAGCAAGACGGCCGCCAGACGTTGAGGTACAGGCAGTCTTCGCTTCTCGCCGTGTTGGGGTTCCACATCTCCACCCCCGGGAAACGATCGAACGCCTCGTCAATCTCTTGCCAGCAGGAATTTGGTTTCTGGGTGGCGTCTTTGGTGCCGGACCACGGCTCTTGCGGCACCGGAGGTTTAAACCTCAGCTCTCCCACGGGAGGTTGGGCATAAGGGATCCCATAGAAAACCTGTACGGACTTGTCGCCGACCAGCTTCTGAAATCCCGTGACGTCACCCAGTGACGTATGCAGCGCCGCTGGTTTAGTACTCAATGACGCCATCACAGGCTGCCGCCCTGTACAGACTAGCGCTGCTATTGTAATAAAGTGCATTAGAAAATCCATCTTGACGTACAGAATCTAAAAAAAAAAGAAATCAAAACTAATATTATATTGTGAATCATCAAAATACATATAAACAACAGATCTTAAAATGTAATAAAAGATTAAATTTAAGCAAATACTGGCCAAAATAAATAGATACCTGTTTAGTTTTTCCATAGATATTTTAGTTGATAAAAATTCTAAATGGACGTCTCCATAACTGAATATTCTTTCAGTATAAAACATTTCGAATTTTTTCTAATCTATATATATAATTCTCTTCTGGGAGACATTAGAAAACAAGCTGCAAGCGCGCCGTACAGCCCCCTCTCTTCCTCTCTATCGCTACCACCCCCCCACCCCCCTTTCACATGGTCTGGTGAGCTGTAGTTCACGATAAACGTTTTTGTTTACAATCATAGCGTCGGGTTTGGTGACGGCTATTAGGGGCAGATAATTTAGTTTGAAACGATTTAAACTTAGGGGAGGTAGCTAAGAGGAGGCTGCTTTCACGGGGGGGGGGGGGGGGGGGGAGGGGTTTAGTGTTTTAAAGCAAATATTTTCAGTGGCAGCATTGGTACTGTCGAATTCACAAATTATGAATTACTGAAAAGTAGAAAAAACAACTAAATAGCGGCGTATGATACACCGCGGGTCGGCTCGTTTATTTTATTTCATGAAATGACGCGGTATTCAAAACTGCATTGTATTAATTTGATATCTATTACAACATATAGCCAACATAAGTCTGCACCCAAAAGTATAAAGGCCGTCAATTTAGTCAAAACTAACATTAAACCCACCCAGACATTTTAACCTTAGAAAAAACAAAAGTTTAGATTTAGTTAAAGACAGGATCAGAAAGACTTAATACTTTACGAGTTAGGTGAATAAGGTGCTAGGCAAGAACAAAAAAAAGGGTTTGAAATGGGAAACAGAATTGTTTAAAACTTGAGATTTTCTAATTTTCGCTTTCTTTCATTTTATTTCAAACAACTATTCTATCAATATAATATAAACTCACATCCCTTGTATGTGTATCATATAGGGTTATCAGAATAGTTAATCTATGCTATTACACTGATGTACTCACCGTTTGCCTAATTGACTCCACCCCTCACCCCCCTTATATGTGTATCATATTATCAGTACAGCTAATCTATTCTAACAAACTAATGCATTCACCGTTTGCCTAATTGACTCCACCCCTCACCCCCCTTATATGTGTATCATATTATCAGTACAGTTAATCTATTCTAACAAACTAATGCATTCACCGTTTGCCTAATTGACTCCACCCCACCCACCCCCTTATATGTGTATCATATTATCAGTACAGCTAATCTATTCTAACAAACTAATGCATTCACCGTTTGCCTAATTGACTCCACCCCTCACCCCCCTTATATGTGTATCATATTATCAGTACAGTTAATCTATTCTAACAAACTAATGCATTCACCGTTTGCCTAATTGACTCCACCCCTCACCCCCTTATATGTGTATCATATTATCAGTACAGCTAATCTATTCTAACAATCTAATGCATTCACCGTTTGCCTAATTGACTTCACCCCCACCCCCTCCTTATATGTGTATCATATAGATTTATCAGAACAACTAATCTATTCTATCACACTGATGCACTGACCGTTTGCCTAATTGACTCCACCCCACCCACCCCCTTATATGTGTATCATATTATCAGTACAGCTAATCTATTCTAACAAACAAATACACTCACCGTTCGCCTGGTTGACTTCACCCCACTCCTGCTAGAGAGAAACTGTCAATCCGCTTCACCCTGTCAGCGTGACTAGCTCACACGAGACGAGCCGTCCTTTTATATACAGCCATCACGTGTACTCCCCCCCCCCCCACCGTAACCGTCGCGCATGATGACGTCTGCAGCCAGTGACACGTGACTGGGGTTTTACCTTATATCACGTAGACTATTATTACCTAGCGTGTAATGGATATTATTAATTCCAATCATAATTTCTTCAAATAGTTTTTCTCTCCTTATAATGTTATTACGATTTTCATTCTGCTTCAAAGTACATTTGAATGTAATAAAATGGCAACGTGAATGTGACCAGTGTTTCTTCGAGACTTTTTTTCTAAGGGTGTTGGGGGGGGGGGGGGGTGTGGAGGGTGGTGGTGCAGAGTGGGCACTTGAAATTTTCGGGTGGGGGGCGGACACTGTTAAAAGTATATATTTCCTATATAAATTCCATTTCGTTCCAAAGAGGTGCCTGGAAGAAACTCTGGATTTTCTTTGTCACTGTGGTGAATCTGTGAGACGGCCATTTTGATCATTTCTCTGTACAGATCGGCCTTGCTTTAACTGTTGTGCATGTACACCCCCTCTAAATTCCTTGTGTTACCTGTGCCTTATTTCGTCAGTGATTCCGCTGAACGAATGCCTATTTAGTCCTGTTAGTTATTCTAATTATAATAATATTTTTCTAATCAGAACCTTAATTCTTTTTTATACATTATTGTGAAAGTACTTTCATAGTGTTTAGCGAATGTTGTCATGCTAGAGTTTACATTGTCGTAGGTGCGTTGCGTAGAATATTACATCAGCGATTTAGGTTTTTAAATACAGCCTTCTCGTCGGCCCAGTCCAGAGTTTCTTCTAGGCATCTCTTGGAGGGGGGGGGGGGGGGCTCCGCGTCGTCCGCGAAGTCTACCGCCCCCCGAACGAAATGGCATTTATATAGAACATATATAATTTTAACAGTGCTGTAAATTTCAAGTGCCCCCCCCCCCCCTTCCCTGGAGAAAAAAGTCTGAAAGAAACACTGACCCAGTCTAAAACATGACGCCACCGGCCTTTAATCATCCAGCGCCCGGATAATCTCTGGCTGCCCGGAAAAAAGTTATGGTAAAAGGAGCCGGATTGCCGTTGTGTATGAAGGCTTAGCGTGGCCATGTGAATGTGTTCCCGCAGGGGGAAGTGTCAAGTCTGTAGGGCACTACTGACACGGCATTGTTTAACCCTCTAAATGCCAGTGCACTTCAGTAAAGCCACTGCATTAAAAAAAAACAACGATGAGGTGGAGATTCCATTCTTTCATTGACCTATACCAACACATTGCTTATTCAGTAGCCAAGTTGGTGGGTACTCGAATACATCTCGTTTAGAATAATTTACCAGTGTTATTAACAGTTGACATTTGCGTTTTCTGCCAACATAAAACAACATTTAGCAGGTTTACTTCATCTATTATAGAATGCTAGTAGACTGATGTTGTGTGGACGATAATTTCTTGTTGTAACATTGGAAAGCCACGGGCGGATAAGTCTGAGCCAAGTCACTGGTGAATAAGTGACATCTTATTTTTCGGAAATCCACAGCTAAAAGTTTAAAACTAACATTAAAGAGAAATAAATTTGCATTTCATAAATCACAAACTTGTCAACCACATTTACCAATGAGGATAGCGTTGTCGATGGTAGACCTCACCCGAAAGTCTCGAGTTCGGATCCCGGTTCGAGTATGTAGGACGTCCCTGGGTCCACTCAGCTCTGATGGACACGTAAATGATGTTGGGGAAACTGAGACGGTGAGCATAGCAGAGGCGTAGCGACCATTCCCGGCGCCCGGGGACAAACTTTCAATTTGCCCCCCCCCCCCTCGGGAGCAAATTTTCAATTTGCACCCCCCTCAAACTTTTGATTTGCTCCCCCCCCCCCTCAAACTATTTATAATGCAAAAATGCAGCTAAAATGACATTTTAATTTGTTTTTCCAACCCATTTTGGCGCCTCATAAGGTCGGCGCCCGGGGACATATGTACCCCCCGCCCTTCCCCCTCGCTACGGCTGTGGAGCATAGTTCTGACCGCTCTATCCCTCTGTATGCTGAGGTTATTAACACAACATATGCCCTGTGTGTCTTGCACGGTTAAAAAATGAAGCTGGTAATATTTGCCATGGTCAACCAAATGTTTTAATCAGCAAATCTTCTATTATTTGTTTGAGAAAACACCCCGCATGTTTTATTGTTTGACATCGTCGTGCATGTACAGCAGCAACGGAGCGCCCCCCACTCTCTCCTGTATCTTTACATATTAATTTACTGCTCTTTATCCTTGTTGTTGGATATAGTGTTGTGGTCGATTGATGAGGGCGCTCGAATGCTAGCCGGAAGGTCGCCCAGCTCTGATGGGTACCTGACTCATGGTAGGGAAAGTAAAGGCTGCTGGGCTTAATGCTGACCACATTATCCCTTCATATGCCTAGGTCAAGAAAGATATATGAACTCGACTTCATTTGCCCAATGGATCGCTAGTTTTAATACTTTGTAAAAAAAAATTACATTTAGCTAATGTAAATTGTAATATTACAGATTTAAAAAAAATTAGACTTTTTGTACTAGTAAAACATTTTAATAAATGAAAGCAGGCTACATGTAAAAATGAAATAGGCCATATTGCTAATGTGAATCTGTATCCGTCCTCTACAAGCCGATTTTGATAATTGTAATACTAACGCGAACACGGCGAGGAAAACAGTGCTGTAAGTTACATGTCTGGGATTTTTAAAAATGTTTTTTAAATAAAAAAAAAACAATTAAAAAAATAGCTTTCAGTACATACAGCTTCTATAAATAGTTATAAAGTATAAGAACCCAAAATATAGTTTTCTGGGTAACTCTTTAATATAGATCTAGATTCTAGATCTAAATATTCTACTTAGATGGAGAAATTGTAAAAGGCTCCTTTTCATAAATACTTCCAAAATCAAGAGTCGTGACTACAAGATAACTACTCCTTTACATATTTGGCCCACTCATATTTGGTTTACACTTTTTAAAAACCATGGTTGGTAAAGGGTTGTACCTAACTCAAAATATTTTTATATTGAATAGTAGAGTAGCAGAGCTTAGTTATTTTGTTTTGTTTTTGTTATAGTAGACCGGTTGAGATTGACTTAATCAAGAAGTACATCAGAGCTTTATCTCTTTATTTTAGCTTACGGCAGTGGGTGTGCTTGGTTTTAATAGGCCTTGCTTGGGTTTAGCAGTTTAGTCTAGTCTAAATTTACGTAACATACAAACTTTTAATTTTTTTTTTACATCATAGGCTATTCATAGGACACAGCAGGACACAGCATCATCATGATGATCATGATCATGATGACAACTTCTTGAATGTCTTCTCTACTCTAGAGTCTAGAGTAGGTACTAGGATTACGCTCGCGCCGCGGCGTCCGAGGCATCATTTTTCTCCCGTTACCAGGCTGTTGCGTTTTCGGCGATGGCGCGAGTGACGATGTTCGAAAATTTGCTTAATTTGCCGCTTCCGTGTGATCATTTTTCTTTTGATGATTGTTTTAAGGAGAAAAATGGATATCAAGCTTGTTTGTTTTTTTTTTGTTTTTTTTTCTGGACCCAAAAAAGAGGAGTTATTCTTTGAAAATAAGGTAAGTTTATTTTATTCATTACAAAAAAACTATTGAAGACACGCGCACTTTATGTAGAGACTCAAACAAAGGGACCATTTCTACGTATTATCTTTATTAATTTAGAGTTCTAAGTTGCTCCCATTGTTAATGGTTCACTCCCCAAAAAGGTATGTACTTCGCCATTTCTGATGGTTACGGCTCAAAACGAAAGAAAAGCCGGAAGTACCGTGAGAGGCCTAGCCCGATCACGCTAACAACACTACCGACTTATTAAATATGACTTTCAATTTACACTGTATTCAGTTATTTTTTTATTATTTAGATCTAGTATAGACTTTGTTTGATTAATATCACTATATTATATCGTTTGAATTGACAGTTCTAGAAAATAATAGCACATTCCCCATTGACTCTTTATTTAGGCCTATATATTTTATTATTTGAAATGCTGTCATATACGCATACATTTAGCGGTCGGTTTTAAGGTTGAGACCGAGAGGGCATAACGTTTTGGATGATGTGTTGCACATAGGAGATGGGTGTTGGGAGGGGGGGGGGGGGTTGAGTAAGTACGGTGGCCTCCAGTTCCGTGACGTCATGTAGATCTATTGTATGGATGGCCCACTACTAATTACTAAAGCAACACGCGAAACTGACATTATTATTGTTGGTTATGGTTTTTTTTCCCCAAATTAACTGCGTTCACCGGGAATCTGTCCTCAGTCCTCTGACGTCACTGAACGACGCGTTGACCCGAGGTTGACATTGTTCTACGTGAGCATCGAGGGTTGGGGTTAAGAAAGGTGACGTAGTGTACCAATGAGGATAGGGGGAGGGTTAATGACGTCACTTATGGAAGATCGTTTACCATAGTTTATAATGAAGGATTTAAAACAGTATTCCAAGTTTTCAACGCTCTGTTCTGATTATAAACGCAGTAGTCCTGTTTATTTGAATTCTTCTAAGATTAATGTTGTGGACTTTTTACATCTTGAATACTAACAAAAATAGGTTTTATTTTTATCTACGGCGTTTATTTTGAGCCATTTTGACGAGAGCTAGATTCTAGAACTGTATAGCCGTGAGCATTAATGACGGGAGTCATTGTCATGCACAGATTGCCGTGAGCATTAATGACGGGAGTCATTGTCACGCACATATTAACGTGAGCATTAATGACGGGAGTCATTGTCAAGCACATATTGCCGTGAGCATTAATGACGGGAGTCATTGTCACGCACATATTGCCGTGAGCATTAATGACGGGAGTTATTGTCAAGCACATATTGCCGTGAGCATTAATGACGGGAGTCATTGTCACGCACATATTGACGTGAGCATTAATGACGGGAGTTATTGTCACGCACAGATTGCCGTGAGCATTAATGACGGGAGTTATTGTCAAGCACATATTGACGTGAGCATTAATGACGGGAGTTATTGTCAAGCACATATTGACGTGAGCATTAATGACGGGAGTTATTGTCACGCACAATAAGTCATTAATGATGTCAAGGGGTTTGTCGGGAATTTTAATAAGTCGATCTTAATGACCGTATGTCTACAGTGGTTGGTCAGTTTACTAATTAGTTATGTTTCATTTATTTTAATGACATGTTACTAAAGTAATGTTCATTATTCCAGATAGAAACTGCAATTCTACAGCATAGGCAAAGGAAGAACAATGTAATATTAAACAGTGATGGAAATTAAATTTCTTTGATGGAAATAAATAACTTGTTCATCTTTAATTTTCTAAAACAAATTACAATAGTTTAAAATATGGTTTCATATATTAAAAAAAAATTAGAATTCACATATAACCATTTATAAAACTTACCAATATCAATATTTATATAATATTAACAGACACACTTACAGAACTTCATTCTGATCAGTTTTCAGCTTGATATTTTAAATAGTTTGAGTTAATTTTGAGTTGTGTGAAAAGTTTCGGTGTTAAAAATATAGAGGGGTACATTCTTCCACCCCCTATTTTAGGCAAACATATATAACTAAAACATACAATTTGATTGTATCTATTTAGGTTTAGGGTTAACTACAATCAGGCCAATTTTGAGACATAAATACTTAAAAGTTCAAATTTGGCATCATTTTCCATTTTACACTAACCAGATTTCGGTTTTTGTAAAAATGCATAATTTATCAACTCATTTGCTCTTTGAACAAAAAACTTTCAAATTATGATCAATATTTTGATGGTATTAATGATCACATCCATAGCCACACATTCTGAGCAATTTTCAGCTTGATATTTCAAATAGTTTAACTTTAAACTGTGATTGTATGAAAGCACTGTGAATGCAAAAATAAGGGGGTCCCCTCCTCCCCTCCAGTTTTTTTTAGAATTCTACCTATGAAGTTCTCTTTTTATTTTTTATTATGTTAACATATATGATAACTTAAGTTACTACAAAGTTATAACAAATTTGATCACACGGTTTACAGGCTATGACAATTTTAGTAAACGCTTTAAAAAATTCTAACACAGAAATTGAAAAAAATCCTATGTTAAAAAAAACGCTTTTTTTAATACGAAAAAAAATCATAACTATTTAACCGTTTGAGCTACATCAAAAATGAAAACTGTTCTGTTATTGTAATTTTCTGCTCCTTTCAACTGTAGTAGTTGTTTCCCCAAAAACCCAATTTTGAAAATTTATCCTAGTACCTAGTCTAGAGTCTCTAGAGATCTAGATTCTAGATTAGATCTAGTCTAGATCTACTCAACTAGATCTAGATATCTAGATCTACTTCTAGATCTACATCTAGAATCTATCTAGAATCTAGAGTCTAGATTAGTTATAGAAAATAGTCAAATAGTATAGCATTCGATCTCTATATTTTTTTAGTTACCAATTTTACCAGCTACTGCTGCTACACACTGTTGACACTGTGTAACTTACTGTAACACAGTGCTAGGCTAGAGATTAGGGTAATCTATCGTTTTAGGTACAGCGGCTAGTAATCTACAAAAAAGTTAACTCATTGTCAAGGCTTTAATAGAAGTAGGCCTATATTCAATATTGTGATATATTTGTGTCAAATATTTATAATTATAGATAAATGAATAATAAACCTAAATCAATGGCTAAATATATCAATATTCAATATAGGCAAGAAATTATCTTTAAACAGCAGTGTTTGCGAGCAGGATTTGCTATATAAAAAGCGGCCATCTGTAAGTTAGAGTGGCTTCCCCTGAATCTTGCGCTATAAGTTTACTATAAAAAAAAATAAACAAGATGGCTGCTATAGTAAATGAGCATGGTTGCATCTGTTGTAAACATCGCTAGTCTTCATTTATTACTGAAAAGTTTTAATTCAATTGTTTAAAAACAGGTACATAAATGAAACAAGGGAACATTTTTGTATTTTTCAAAACATAAATCCTCCTCAAAATGTGAAATAATTATTAAAATTTAAGGAGTAACCTGTTTTTCACATTACTAGTCGCGGGCGATTTTACGTACTTAAAACGATATATTACAGAGATTAGTTTGGTAGAGATTTAGGCTATTATTTATTTAAGTCTTAAGTTATGAGTTTCTAATTTAGTTTCTATCTGTCTAAAGTCTAAAACAATTCTAAATTATAAAATTATTAGATTCTTATCCTAATCACTCATACATACTGAGTCAGTAATCTTTATTATCCTGACCTATGAGTCGCAACATCTAAATAGCGGCGCATGCTATGCAGCGGTTTGGCTAGTAAATTATAGTAGGCCTAATGTACTCATTACAGTTCTAATCCTATTGAACTACAGTCTAAAGTCAAGCATACTAATTTTACTTTAGTAATAGCCTTTTTCTTTTTTTTTATGACCATTAGGCCCTACATTCCTTAATTACATTTAAAATTTAAAGGTGGAAAAAAAAAGCAATAAAAGCTTTAGAATTGTTTGTGTGAATTTTAATTAGATCTTTAACAAAAAATACAACACAGATTTCAAGTGAGGATCAGAGATAGAGTAGCAAAGCTTACAAAAAGTACACACAATTGAAATATATACAGTGTTTCTTCCAGAGTTTTTTTTCCCGGGGGGGGGGGGCACTTGAAATTTTCGGGGGGGGGGGGGGGGGCGGTAGACTTTCTTCGGGGGAGCGGACACTGTTAAAAGTATATATTTTCTATATAAATTATATAAATTTCATTTCGTTCGGGGGGGGGGGGGGTAAATTTTTTTCGGGGGGGGGGGGGGGGGCTTGCCCCCCCCCCCCCCCCCCCCCCCCCCCCCGAAGAGATGCCTGGAAGAAACTCTTAATATATGTCCTGATGACACACTAAAATACTTTTTTTTTAGTTAGGCCTATAAGTAGGCCCTATAAATTATTATTAAAGTTGAATATTTGCTATATCTAGGCAATAACGGTATGGAAGCCTGAACTAAAAGACACCATGGACTCCATGAACAAAATTTATGGTCTCTCATTTGCCTTCCGCCTTGTTCTTATGCTGTATGGAGCATGGCAAGATGCAAATATGGCTGTACAGTTTACTGATGTTGACTACCATGTGTTTACAGATGCTGCCAAGTTTGTTTCTCAAGTGAGTTTAATTTCTTCATGTAAACATATTTTTTTTTAACAATTTATATATATATATATATTTTTAAAGCTGGTCATCTATCATACATGGTAGATCTTTGACACAGGAGAAACTCATTGTTTTTAAAAAATATATTTGGAGAAATTTGCTTCGTATTTCTCATATTATTGATGTCTTGATATTTTAAATATTTTAATGCTTTTTAATGGTTAAGGTGAATTTATTTCAAGAAGTTAAAAAGTAAATTACTTTTCCTGTACCTTGTTAAACAAAAACAATTCTTCTCGCAAATATTGAACTTTGGCTTGAGCTGTTGGATTATTGAGAAACTTTGGTAGGGAGTAATTTGATACTGATTCCTGTGGAAGCGTAGAAAGCCTTAGATAAAGAGGTTTTCCAATTGTACAATTATTTTAAAAAAAAAAGATTGTTTGAAAATATCTGTTATGAATAGATGCTAAAATTTGTCTGTTTTAATTTCAGGGTGAATCTCCATATAAAAGAGCAACTTACAGATACACACCATTGCTTTCATGGGCTCTAACTCTAAATGTATGGATATCACCATTTTTTGGCAAATTCTTATTCATCATTTTTGATATTCTAGTTGGAAAATCAATATACAACCTTGTCCGACATAATGGATTTGATCATTGGACAGCAAGAAACTGCGCTCTGGTATGGCTGGTCAACCCACTTTCTGCGACCGTATCAAGCAGAGGAAATGCTGAATCTATAATGGCATTTCTGGTTCTCACTTCATTGACGTTACTTGTGCAAGGCAAGCTATTCTCAGCTGCTGTGATGTACGCGGTAGCCGTACATTTTAAAATCTACCCTGTGACATATGCCCTGCCTATTTACCTGTACTTGGGCAGTGAGGATGTGAAGGGTGCAGACAGGTGGAGCTCATGGTTGGGAAGTCTTTTACCAAACAAAGATAGGCTACTCTTTATCTTCACTTCAGTTGCTGTTCTTGTTTCCTTATCCTGTTTCTTTTATTGGATGTAAGTAAGGATAATAATCAACAGCAGTCTTTTCTCTTTTAACAACTTAATTTGTTTAATAATAATGGGTTACAGTTGTGCCAGTTAAATCCAACACTACACACTACAAACATTAATCTTTTAACTGCTTTAGAAAGCTGGATTAATGGAATATTGATACCATGTACCTTCACTATAGCTGGAGACATGAATTGGGTCTTAATAGTACTTTATTTTTGTTATAAAGTGTATCAAAGTGTTGTTGCTTTTTTTACTTTAGCCTAATCATACTAAAGTTATTTTTATTCTTTATATCAACACCAGGTATGGATGGGTGTTCTTGTATGAAACCTACCTTTACCACATTGTTCGTGGTGACATCAGGCACAACTTCTCCCCTTACTTTTACCTCCTGTACCTGACCTCTGACCCTGTGAATGGTGTCCCATTGTGTTTACGCCTGCTTGTCTTCATTCCCCAACTGGTGCTGGTGGTGGCAGTTGCCCTGCGGTGCCATCATGACCAGCCCTTGGCCTGGTTCCTCTGTACATTTATCTTTGTCATGGCCAACAAGGTCTGCACCTCCCAGGTAAGTCTTTACCCAGTTGTTGTCTTCAATTTTTAAAGTAAATTTCAATCAAGTTGGAAATAAAAAAATAATATAGGTTAAAATATATAGTGGCATGATGCAGCCTACATGACCAGAAATAGTCTAATATTAAACTTCAAGGAATGGAATTTGTATCTTCAATAGTTGAGCAGACTCAGCTTAAGTGGGTACCTGACATTATAGTTTCATAGCATAAGTCAACTTAGTACTTTGTTGGCTACAAAGTTACCTCATCATGTTTATATAGACAAGTAGACCCCAAATCTTCCAACTTTTTAACCAGTCTTTTATTTATTTATATTTTTTTTAATTCTGATAAACTACACATTAGTATTCTATACACACTATAGCTTGGTTTCCTGTCTACCATAGACTGTAATGTTCATAATACAATTTTCTAAAAAAAATCAATAAATCTTTTTTAACTACAATTTTTTTTTACCCATACTCAGCTTATTATTCTTTGCTTAAAAAAAGTGTGTGCAGATTTGATCCATTCCAATGTTTTCTACCATGTGACCAGTATTTCCTGTGGTATCTGAGTCTACTGCCAATAATTCTACCCCATCTTAAGATGACTGTCCTCAAATCCCTCCAGCTTCTGTTGCTGTGGTTTGGTGCACAAGTAAGATCACCTTAGTATTTACCCACTGTGTCAGGTTGCTTTCTAATTTTTTTTAACTTTAAGTAATTAATTATTAGTATGTGATGAGAATATTGTTTGTATAAATGTTTCAATTCATTGTGGATTAGATAAGCAAAGCTATAAGTTTCATTGATGGTATTTTTTCACTTTTCCATTGTTGATAAATATACTTACACCAGATTAAAGTTATTAAAATAATTATTTTTGTGCGTAATTTAGATTTTATATTTTTTTTTATTTTCAGGGTCTTTGGCTTCTCTCAGCTTACTATCTGGAGTTTAATGGTAGCAACACCTTCATTTATATCTGGGCAGCTGGCCTGCTTTTCTTTTGTGTTAATTCTTACATAACATATTGTTTGCTAACGAGCTATGAGATGAAGGCAAAGTCAAAATGAACATGCTAGAAGGCTTGATCTATAAAGGGAGACAACACATGATGATCATTCCAGTCTTTGTATCTAAATGTCAGGGACAACTGCTTTTTGAATGGCCCAGGGCAAACCCAGTCAGAGCAGATACAAATATTTGTTGAAAGCCCTTTCTAACTGAACTCACTGCAAGCAGCTACTTGTAAGAGTTGTGTGAAGTGTGCTGGCCACACAACCACCAGATGTTAACAGTTACTGTGTAGTATCTAAGTTCCAAAAGTTTTTAAACTGCTGATTATTTATTACATATTACAAACACTCTGATAGGCATGAAATAAACTGATACCCTGTTGAATTTTATAATTTCTCAAGTAAAGATCCCTTACAAAAAAAGCTGATTCTTTTAATTATAGCATAACATTGTCACTTAAGTTAAAAAAATTTGGGTATACAGTTACACACTTGTGAGGTTATCTAATATTTTTAAATTTAGTGTTTAGTTTAACCAACCAATCCAATTATATAGAGTATCAACATAGAATTAGTCAGTTGTGTAAAAGCATGAACGAGTAAATCTTTAAAATTAAATAAGAACCCAGCTAAATGTTCTTCGTTTTATTTTTAAAACTAACATTTTAAAAATACCATGTAATTATTAAATACACATGAAACCTTAAACTTTGTATGAATAGGTATAAAAGGCATTTGTTGTAATATAAGTTATAAAATTAAAACATTTAACATTCATAACAGTGATAATTGACATAATTTATGCAAAGCAGCAATGGTAACAATTGTTTTACACGTTGCCTTATTCAAATGAGAAAGGTAACAAGGTTCTTTTGTGAAACAACTGGCAGTGTTGAGATTCAAAGAGTTGAAACATGTTTTAGGTTTAAAGAAATAAAAACTGATTTTTATGACTCTGACTTGTTTTTCATTAATTAGGCAGAATGGGGATGATTTCATGTAAATCAGTTAAATTATTTTAAAAGCTGCAAGTTTATATTAACATTAAAATAGCATCATTTTAACAAATTGATTCAATTGAACTAAATAATTTACATTTAACAAATTTATAGTAAGAAATTCTTTCTGTAATTACATTTTTATGACTTGTGCAACTGTATATGCCTTATGTACAACTGTAAGTCAACCACACAAAATAAAAATAGTAATTATTGAAAACCAATTAAAGTATGTGAAATAACAAAAAAATATGTGCGGTTCAGACAATTTTAGGCACATATGAGAGGTCAGTTGTTCACGAAGTATCTAGGGCAGAGTAAGAAGCAACAAATTCACTGTAGATAGATGTCAACACAAGTGTTTTTTAACCAAGTGACATAGCAAAGTATTAACTAAATGGAAAAAAAGCTTTTTGTTTAGATTTAAATTATAATTTTACATTTGTAGTAAATTATATAAAGCATACTATATAGTTCAAGAGAAGCAACTTTCAAGATATATAAGAATTTCTACAAAATTATAACATTGCATTTTTAGTAAATCATAAAAAGCATAGAATTTTTCTACTATGTTATTTTATTTAAAGAGAAACAAATATCTTGTGCAGTTAAAATCACACATTCATCAATAACACTAATGTATTCTACAACCCACTTAAGGTAATTTCCTTAAAAACAAAACATTAAAACTACAAAAACCTTGAGCCCTATTAAAAATTTATATTTGGTCCAGATTCGAATCATTCAACATAAAATTATTTACAGCATGACTTGGCTACTGGTATCAGCTCAGATCGTAACTCCATAGGCAGGTACTCACGAATGTGGTCATGTAAATCTGATGTTCCATTAATTAGACGCTGCCTGTGAAAGAAAAAAGAATCAAAATATAAAATTAGATATATTATGGTATCTGGGCAAGTATCCTTTCGATGTCCCTGGGTAACTGACTCGCAATAGGAAAACTAAAGACGGCTGACCACAATATCCCTTCAACTGCAAGTTCACAGAAAATTATTTCACTTGCCTATTTGACAACCAGGTCCAAAAGGGTAACTACTCCTGCTTAGGTGGTGTGGTTGTGTGTTGGGGGATACAATTACAAGACTGTTGATTTGAGTTCGAATCCCTATCATCAATTAATTAGTCTTTAAGTTGCATCAAGAGGCAGTCATTAAAGTTTATGGTTAAGTCAGGTAAAAATGATTGGGTATTTTTTACTAAACAAGCAAGTCAAAGCCACATACACTCTACTTCAGCTGCCTGATAAGTTTGAAAAGGTTCATGCATTTATTTTTATTAATTCAGTTAATTCCATCCTTAGTAAAATAAAATATCTAAGCAAAAATAAGTGTTTTTTGTAAATAAGCTCTGGATGTTTAAAAAGGAGTTTTCATTAATAAAATGTATTTTTGATTGATGAAAAAGACTTACGTTTTCATTAATAAAACAACATCTTTTTGATTGATGATCCTCCTGCCTGCATGTAGGGCATAGGCCTCCAAGGCCTTGAATGTGTCATCCCAGAAAATTTCTGACCTAGATGTAAATGATAGAAGTTTATTCAAAGAGACTGTAGCAAAAAAAATATTATGTATCTAAATTAGTTTTTACTAATGGATATCAATTGAAGTTTTAAAAAATTAGAACTTAAATTAATGAAGTATTAAAACTTATATTGAATCTTTGCAGTTATTTGCATTATTTTAGACCATTTTTGTAATAAAATATTATTCAATATAATTATAATCTTGACTAGAATTTGCTGCAATTTTCAATATATTAATATTTATATAGATTAGCAAATTTTCATCAAAATTAACCAACCTAGCAAACGTGGAACAGCAGCTTTATTAATTTTTCTGACATTTAAACCTATAAAAGTATATTTGACTGCTAACACAAAACTTCAAAATTAATTGATATATAAATGTTTTCCCAGTCTATACAAGGGATACTTTTACATACACATTAATGATCATATCAATGGCATCTTTTGAAAGCTTCATGCTTGAGTGACGCTCAGCAAAAAACTTGACAGAATTTCTTGGCAGAGTTATCTGTACATTTGTTGGCTTTTTCCTTGTTGGTGCTAGCAGTTTCCTTGGCAATACTTGTGAACTGTTGATAGAAAAATTACATTTGCGTTATTAATAAATGGATATAACTATATATATATATATATATATATATATATATATATATATATATATATATATATATATATATATATATATATATATATGTATATATATATATATATATATATATATATATAGGCATATTACAAATAAATGTAAATCACCCATGGGAAGTCTTTAAAAAAAATAAAATAATGTGAACGCTCGGAAAGAAAATTTTTTTAATGACCAATGTAGAAGCATTAATAATAAATTAAATTACCTTTTCTTAGATTTTTGCCTAGGCACTTGTTGAACAGTTGATACCATTCTAGGCTTTTTACTCATGCTTATATGGGGGGTAGTCAAAGGAGAAAGTCCGCTGTTGGAAGATGTGAATTGTATTTAATATTTTTCCAATGGATTTCCGTAAAAGCTTTAGAAATAAGATTCCTTCAGTAGTTATGTGTCATTGTTATCTATAAGCCCATGGTAGCAAAAAAAATTTCAAGATGGTTTCTCAAGATTTTTATACTTTTTTTTTTAATTGTATATTTAAATTCTAAAAAGTTACTTAAGATGACATAGCAACCTACCTGGGCAACTCATAACCCTCTTCATCGTCAGAGCTTTCGGCTGGATTCTTTAAAAAATTAATTAAAATAAAACATGAGCTTCTAGCAGTTGTAGGCTCAAACAAATATACAAAATTGATATGTCATTTCAAAACGTATTTCCAAAATATTTTTATTATACCGTTTTGTAAGCTTAACAATAAATTAAAAAATGTATTTTAAAGCAAAAAATTGTTTCAAAATTTGATGGTTGATAATTAGTTCATAATTTGTTTTTCACATTATTTTCATATCAATAACTAGATACTAGCTGCCCAGTATTCTTTATTTAGTTAAAGTAAAAGGTAATATTTTTTACACATAATTTAAAGTTTATAAAAGAGTAGTAATAAAATTTATTATTATAAGTCACCTACCTTCCTTTTTCTTTCTGCTGTATTTCCAGTCTGTTCAACCAAATTGTCACTGCCTATTGGATAGAAAAGTAAAAATATTTAATGAAAAAAGTCTATAAATAAATGTACTGTAGAAGGCTTACAATTTAGCAATTTTAATAATTTGTCTTTTAAATATATAGTGAAAGAGATAGCTAACTAAGTTTTTAGACCTTCCTTCTTCCTGTCCACAATTATTATAGAAATATACTTGATTGGATGGTTAAATACGAAGCCAAATAACTGTATTGTAGAGGGCACATACTTTAGCTATTTTATAATATATTCCAAAATTAATTGTATTCACTGGTTAAAGGTTAAGCTAAAGAGAAATTTGATTCCTCTTTTTAAAAAAAATAAAAAAAATTTCTTACTCTCCTCTTCCTGTTCTGGCAATAAAACCCTTGCCATTTGTTCACTGCTAGGTAACCTGTTCTCCTCATAGTGTTGTTCTTCATGCATTCCTCCCACCTCAGAATACTCATTCTCTATAAAAGGTTCGGAACCACCCACATCTTCAGCACCACCAACTCCAACCACCTGCCGCACTGCCTTTAGTTCCTCATACTGTCTCTCTGCTGGGCTTTCCTCCTGTGTGTAAACCTGCCCTCTCACAGCCACTGATTCACTCAATTCCTCCATGACGTCAACACTGGTTGGTCTCAGTGGACTTGCCTCAACCTGGTTCACAAGCATTGCTGGAACTGGCATGATGGAATCCAATACTACACCCTCAATATTTTGATCGATTGCTGTGGCTTCTTTATACTGCACATTATTCTGTACATTTTCTATATGTTCATTTGGACGATCCTTTTCATTTTGATATTTCCAATCATGCCTAATGGGAGATAAGTCTGGGATAGGTGGGGATGCGCTGGTCTGGCTCTGAGAGAAAGCAGAATTATCATGCAGCTTAGTGGAGTGGAAAAAAGCTTTACCACGCTGGACTGGGGTAGAGGATCTAGGCAAGTCGAGAACAAGCTCGCTAAAGTTTCTCTTCGATTTAAGAATATCTGGTGTCTGCGGAGCTTGTTTTGAGGCAGAGTTTGCGACAGCTGATCGCCTGGAGATACTCTGCTTGCCTAGTTTTTTGGTGGAGCTTGTGGTTTTTTTCTTCGCCGTCCTGGGTTTCTTTGTTCCACCAGGCGTGTTGGCCTCATCACTGCTGCTGTCGCTGATGTCATAAATACTCAGCACTGGTGGTGTGAGCTCTTGAGGTTCTGTGCTTTTTACAGAACTTCTGGAGGCTGAAGTTGTGACTTTTCTTCTAAGACTAGAACCACTGGGTGTTTGTGATTTTGGCTGCCGCAGACTTTTTGCTGTAAGGCTCAGCGAACTTGTCGCACTAGTTTCCCCAGGCTGTGAGTCCAATGCCTGAATGTTTTTTTCAACTCTTTCTAAAATAGGCATTGCATCTTCTTTAAGGGAAGGTAGGGGATCTTCAGTAACTAGAACATTATCCTTTTTAGCTTTTGCATTTTTAAATTTCTTTGAATCTGCTGTAAGAGTCTTTTCAGGTTCTGCAAGTGTCTTTTGTGCGAGGTTGATTGCATTTTTGTCAAAATTGAATTGCTTTACATTGCGTTGTTTGTGCTCTTTAGTTTCTGACCGATAACTTTTGTCAGATTCCTCTCTGCAGAATAATTGAATTTTTAAAATCATTTATTAAGCGAAAAAAAATAATTAACTATGTAAAAAAAAAATATGAAGAGAATAAAAGTTTTGAGACTTCAAAACAATTATCAAATTGGCTGTAATCAACTAAATCAAAACTAACTAGGTAATTAAAATATAACAATAATAAAATATATTGGAAGTAACTTTTTGAAAAGGAAAGTGGTTAGACTTGTAGTGTAATATGCTCAATGTGATATGCCACTAGTAACTATAGTAGAAAACAAAAAAGTTTGTTACTATTGAAAAATAAATTAATTAGGTAAACGAGTAATTAAAGAAATACAACTTTATAATAATCATTATCATCGTTTCCGTTCTTGCCTAAGACAAGTGGGGCAGATGAAGTACAGTTCATCTGCTTCAAAAACCTAGGCTTATAAAGGGATAGTGTGGTAAGCATTATGCCCAGCCTCGATTGTTTCCGTATCGCAAGTTAGGTACCCATTAGAGCTGGGTGGACTGAGGGATGTTACATTGTTTGTAATCTGATTCAACTCGAGACTCTCGGGTTAAAGGTCTAGCTCTCTATCACTAAGCCAGGCTGTCTCTATATAACTATTAAATGCAGGTAAAGTTAGAAAATCAAGCCAACTTTTTCCATTCAGTAAAAGCGTTGGGCGCTCAAAGGTGTAAGAGTTTTCATGAGTAGAGACGAAAAGTACATTTGGAGCCAGTAACAAGAAAAGGATGACTTAAATTTGAAGTTCTATACAGACTGTCACTGGTATTCATGTAGGACTTTCCCAATACAACACTGGCATTGGACTGGACTGAATTTTAGCCAGCTTGGTTTTCTAGTATTTCTACCTTACTTCTAGCGTACACTTGAAATGATTTTTAGGTAGCGTTAAAAATTTCAAAAAGCGTGTGTATACCATGTGGGGTTAAGGGTTGGAGCCTTCGAAATACATTTCTAGCCATAATGGGACGATGTACCATCGTGACCAGGAACATGCTTCGAGGCAATGAGAGGCTACCGATCTTTACATTTCATTTGTTACAGGGGATAGCGCGAACGCAGTCCCCCCTACGAAAAAATTACGCACCCGAGTCACCCACATTTGGGGTGATCGCAGGGGTCAACCCACACGAAGTGCAATGTGCAGGCCTCGCCCTGGGAGGACCTCCTTGCTGATCAAGGTGCCTCCTGTGCCAGGTAAGTATGCTTGAATAAGCGGCCGATTCACCACTTTCAGCGGCCATCGCAAGAATGTTATGGTGTTTCGTTTTCTGAATGGTTCACTCTTTTATCGAATCAAATACATCCCTCCAAGTGATGGTATTCGATTTGTCTGCAATTATGTACTACAGAAATTTTGTCAAACTTTGATAAAGCGCAAATCCTTTTAAAAGAATTATTACTGCGACATACAGTTCAAATGGTTTGGAATTAAACTGGCAGCAAAGGTTGCTTCCCTTTGTTGATCGTTTACATTTGTGCTAGCCTCCCTTTAAAACAAGCCGAACGCGATAATGCGTACTGATATTAAGAGATCGGAGCTACATTGTATGAGCGACTGATTTGATCCGTTTCTAATGCAGCGATTTCGATCTACGCTTCAAGAAAAGTTCATTTCCGATGACAAGGCAACGAGATCTCATTTTGTATCTAAGGAGAGGTTCAATTCGTCATTACAAATTCATGTTAAAAAGTACAAGTTTCAATAACAAAACAGAGTTAATATCACGATCAGCCAGGTGATATGGGGTTCACGACTGATGTTTACAAACATTTTAGACGAGACATCTTAAGAAGGGGCACATAATACTCATGTTGAATGCTTTTCATAACTGAATATCAGCGTCGTTAAAAGAGTTAACTGGCTATGTCTTAAAGTCACGAGGAAAGTTGACTCAATAATGCTCAACTCGGGGTGGGAAAAAATAAAGTAGGTTACTTTATTGTTTTATTTTTAAATTTAAGCTACCTATTTGTGTCTTTGCAAAAGAAAAGTACCTACTTTAAATAAACGTAGAATTAAAAAAAAAAACAAAAAAAAACAAAATAAATAATAAATACACCTTTGTAATAACAGTACGCTTTTAAATGCAGGTAAAGTTAGAAAATCAAGCCAACTTTTTCCATTCAGTAAAAGCGTTGGGCGCTCAAAGGTGTAAGAGTTTTCATGAGTAGAGACGAAAAGTACATTTGGAGCCAGTAACAAGAAAAGGATGACTTAAATTTGAAGTTCTATACAGACTGTCACTGGTATTCATGTAGGACTTTCCCAATACAACACTGGCATTGGACTGGACTGAATTTTAGCCAGCTTGGTTTTCTAGTATTTCTACCTTACTTCTAGCGTACACTTGAAATGATTTTTAGGTAGCGTTAAAAATTTCAAAAAGCGTGTGTATACCATGTGGGGTTAAGGGTTGGAGCCTTCGAAATACATTTCTAGCCATAATGGGACGATGTACCATCGTGACCAGGAACATGCTTCGAGGCAATGAGAGGCTACCGATCTTTACATTTCATTTGTTACAGGGGATAGCGCGAACGCAGTCCCCCCTACGAAAAAATTACGCACCCGAGTCACCCACATTTGGGGTGATCGCAGGGGTCAACCCACACGAAGTGCAATGTGCAGGCCTCGCCCTGGGAGGACCTCCTTGCTGATCAAGGTGCCTCCTGTGCCAGGTAAGTATGCTTGAATAAGCGGCCGATTCACCACTTTCAGCGGCCATCGCAAGAATGTTATGGTGTTTCGTTTTCTGAATGGTTCACTCTTTTATCGAATCAAATACATCCCTCCAAGTGATGGTATTCGATTTGTCTGCAATTATGTACTACAGAAATTTTGTCAAACTTTGATAAAGCGCAAATCCTTTTAAAAGAATTATTACTGCGACATACAGTTCAAATGGTTTGGAATTAAACTGGCAGCAAAGGTTGCTTCCCTTTGTTGATCGTTTACATTTGTGCTAGCCTCCCTTTAAAACAAGCCGAACGCGATAATGCGTACTGATATTAAGAGATCGGAGCTACATTGTATGAGCGACTGATTTGATCCGTTTCTAATGCAGCGATTTCGATCTACGCTTCAAGAAAAGTTCATTTCCGATGACAAGGCAACGAGATCTCATTTTGTATCTAAGGAGAGGTTCAATTCGTCATTACAAATTCATGTTAAAAAGTACAAGTTTCAATAACAAAACAGAGTTAATATCACGATCAGCCAGGTGATATGGGGTTCACGACTGATGTTTACAAACATTTTAGACGAGACATCTTAAGAAGGGGCACATAATACTCATGTTGAATGCTTTTCATAACTGAATATCAGCGTCGTTAAAAGAGTTAACTGGCTATGTCTTAAAGTCACGAGGAAAGTTGACTCAATAATGCTCAACTCGGGGTGGGAAAAAATAAAGTAGGTTACTTTATTGTTTTATTTTTAAATTTAAGCTACCTATTTGTGTCTTTGCAAAAGAAAAGTACCTACTTTAAATAAACGTAGAATTAAAAAAAAAACAAAAAAACAAAATAAATAATAAATACACCTTTGTAATAACAGTACGCTTTTAAATGCAGGTAAAGTTAGAAAATCAAGCCAACTTTTTCCATTCAGTAAAAGCGTTGGGCGCTCAAAGGTGTAAGAGTTTTCATGAGTAGAGACGAAAAGTACATTTGGAGCCAGTAACAAGAAAAGGATGACTTAAATTTGAAGTTCTATACAGACTGTCACTGGTATTCATGTAGGACTTTCCCAATACAACACTGGCATTGGACTGGACTGAATTTTAGCCAGCTTGGTTTTCTAGTATTTCTACCTTACTTCTAGCGTACACTTGAAATGATTTTTAGGTAGCGTTAAAAATTTCAAAAAGCGTGTGTATACCATGTGGGGTTAAGGGTTGGAGCCTTCGAAATACATTTCTAGCCATAATGGGACGATGTACCATCGTGACCAGGAACATGCTTCGAGGCAATGAGAGGCTACCGATCTTTACATTTCATTTGTTACAGGGGATAGCGCGAACGCAGTCCCCCCTACGAAAAAATTACGCACCCGAGTCACCCACATTTGGGGTGATCGCAGGGGTCAACCCACACGAAGTGCAATGTGCAGGCCTCGCCCTGGGAGGACCTCCTTGCTGATCAAGGTGCCTCCTGTGCCAGGTAAGTATGCTTGAATAAGCGGCCGATTCACCACTTTCAGCGGCCATCGCAAGAATGTTATGGTGTTTCGTTTTCTGAATGGTTCACTCTTTTATCGAATCAAATACATCCCTCCAAGTGATGGTATTCGATTTGTCTGCAATTATGTACTACAGAAATTTTGTCAAACTTTGATAAAGCGCAAATCCTTTTAAAAGAATTATTACTGCGACATACAGTTCAAATGGTTTGGAATTAAACTGGCAGCAAAGGTTGCTTCCCTTTGTTGATCGTTTACATTTGTGCTAGCCTCCCTTTAAAACAAGCCGAACGCGATAATGCGTACTGATATTAAGAGATCGGAGCTACATTGTATGAGCGACTGATTTGATCCGTTTCTAATGCAGCGATTTCGATCTACGCTTCAAGAAAAGTTCATTTCCGATGACAAGGCAACGAGATCTCATTTTGTATCTAAGGAGAGGTTCAATTCGTCATTACAAATTCATGTTAAAAAGTACAAGTTTCAATAACAAAACAGAGTTAATATCACGATCAGCCAGGTGATATGGGGTTCACGACTGATGTTTACAAACATTTTAGACGAGACATCTTAAGAAGGGGCACATAATACTCATGTTGAATGCTTTTCATAACTGAATATCAGCGTCGTTAAAAGAGTTAACTGGCTATGTCTTAAAGTCACGAGGAAAGTTGACTCAATAATGCTCAACTCGGGGTGGGAAAAAATAAAGTAGGTTACTTTATTGTTTTATTTTTAAATTTAAGCTACCTATTTGTGTCTTTGCAAAAGAAAAGTACCTACTTTAAATAAACGTAGAATTTTAAAAAAA